TGGCTGACTCCATGACAAGGATCAGTCACCTGGGTAGATTCCACATCGGTGGGGATAGATTAGGCCTTTTCCTTCGCCTTCACAGACATACCACTTGTCCATTTTGGATCTCACATCTTCAATAGCCATGAAAGCATTCAGGAGCCCAGTTTCTTCTCATTAGAGAGAAAAATGGTAAAGAAACGTGTGCATTTGTGGTCATAAGCAGTTTCAGAACCTTCTTTCTTACTTCCTCCGGGAGGCATGCCTCTTTTTGCCATGCTTTCTCTGAGTACTTGACCAGCTTTTGAGAATGCCCGGCCTGGAGGGTGAACACCCAAGGTTATGTTTAAAGTCCTGGGGGAAGCTGCTGATGTCAGCTTTCAATGACCTCTGCAGCAGTGACTCGGCTGACGGGCCGGACCTCTCCCTCCTGGGGTAGCTCTCCTCTCTGGCAGGCTGTGTCACCCTGCTGTGGAGCCACCAGAAGGGTGTGCCCAGTGTTTGTAAATGCAAAAACTAAAGACCTGGTCTCATCTCTGCAGAAGACAGAATAAGGTGGGTTTTTTATCTATGCTTTACTTTTGTGCATCAAATGCCCTTTTTCTCCATTTTAGCAAATATGAGGGGCCTTCAAAAAAGTTTATGAAAGGTATAATTGAAAGCTAATGTGCATTTTAATGAACTTTTTCATTAAAATCCTTTAGAATTTGAGAGGCAGAAAGATAAATATATCTACACACATACTACTCCCATCCACTGGTTGACTCAGCAAATAACCAGAAGTTAGTAGCTCAATCTGGGTTACCTTTGTTGGTGAAACCAGATCCAACTTCTTGAGTCATTAGGGCTGCCTCCCAGAGTGCACATTAGCAGGAACCTGGAGTCAGAAGCCAGAGCTGGGACGGGAAACCAGGCTCTGGGATATGCTATGTGGGCAGCCCAAGTGGTTGCATGAGTACTGTTGCCGAACACCTCTCCATGAAGCCCTCCAAGACGGAGCATAAAGATTTTTATCCAGAATTCACCTAGCAGTCCATCCAGAGAGATGTTGGTTCCCTTGTTACAACCTCTAAAACCCCAGGGAAAATTTGCAGGTTGACAGAAAACCAACTTCAGAGCACTCTGTTAGGGGCTGTGCATGGAATGATGCACCCAACACCACAGCGCTAAGAGGCACAATGCTATCATTATTTCTGCTGTATGGATGAAGGAAATAAGTACACAGAAGGGAACAAGTTCCCTCCAGGTTACACAGCTAGTATGTAGCAGAGCTGAGATCTTAGTGACCTGGTCCTAACAGCTACTTAGCATGACTGTATCGTTTTGCTCCTTTACATTTAAGGAAGCTTGTGGCCTCTATATTATGGTATGACTATAACCTACGTTAAAAATCAATGCTAATCCATGTGGGAGACCTGGAGGAAGTTCCTGGATCCTGGCTTTAGTTCGGTGCAGATCTGGCCGTTGTGGTCACTTGGGGAGTGAACCATCAGGTGGAAGATCTTCCTGTCTGTCTCTCTTCTTCTCTGTATATCTGACTTTGCAATAAAAATAAATAAATCTTTTAAAAAAATCAATGTCAGAGTGATAATCCTAAGGGAGAGTTTTGCCACATTTTTATTAAATGTCTCAACCCAGTGTGTAACTGGCACAGTGCTGCCATATTGTTCTGCTTTGGGTATGGTCTGAGAGTCCTCAAGTGTGCACTGTGATTGGAGACTTGGTTCTCAGGGAGGCATCTGTGGAAGGCAATGGAGCGGTGGCAGATGGGGCCTAGAGGGATGTCCTCAGGTAGTTCTCAGAGAGCCCTTGGGTTCTCTCGTAAGAGGGTTGTTAAACAGGAGAAAGCCTGGTCCCTCCACCCTCTCTGCTCCAGTTCATGCTGTGACACTTGCTCTGACATACTCCCACCATTGCCACCGAGCACTGCCATGAGCTTCCCACCAGAACTGACTTGACCCAGGTGGCTAAGTGAATCTCTGATATTTTCATTGACTTTGATATTTTCCTTTCCTCTCCATGACCCACAGAAACCAGTTTCATTTTCAAAAGGACAAACACTGAGAAATGGTCTCTCTTTTTTACTTAGTCATAAAATTCTAACTCCTTAACGATTAAGATGTATCTGTGGTAGACATTCAGTCTTATACGGGATATTGTCTGTAACAGGAGGACTAAATATAAAGCAATGCTTACAATTTAAATGGCACCTCGTTTATTTAAGCGATTGCATGAAAACCTTCCCTTCAGATACCTGCAGGGACCGCAGATGAGTCACACAACACAACACTTTCAGATGAGAAGGGCCAGACTCAGGAAGGGGAAGTGACACGCTAAGGCTACAGAGCCTTCACACCACAGCACATGTGGCTTTCTGGCCTGAGAGCATGATATATTTTACTTGGACAATTTTCCTGAATTTTCAGAAGCATTGCCTAGCTACACTTTCAGGTTCTTTATGATACCCAGTATCACACTGTAAAATTTCTGTCACCCACAGCAGGTCTACCAGGAGATAGCTGAAGCCCTGAGTGGTTTCCTTTAGTCTTCAAGCAATGTCCTGTGCATCCCTGGTGATGCTGAATTAATTACCTAGAACTCTAATATTTTCAGACAATTCACAGTCGGGATACCCCTTGGTCTCTTTCCTGGACAAATATTGTATTTCTTTTTATTTATTGTTTAGCCGTTCAAGGAATGTCAGTATGACTGCATCAGCCTCTTGTCTTTTGTTTTCATTATCTTTCTAGTCTAATTAGTTCTTCCTATGCAGAAATTTTAGGTCTCTACATGTTTGCTCAGGGAGATGGAAGCAGACAATACGAGACTAAAAGAGAGGACTCCCTCCTACCATGCACACATGTACAACAGGTTGGGAAATGCTTATACTACATTCACTCTCATTCACATAACAAAGGCACCAAGCAAGGCTGTATCAGAGATCTGCACAACTGTATCTGCCCATGGAAGTCTTTACTGTGGAACAGTTACCAGCATTTCACAGGTAAATTCCAGTTTACCAAGACCCTGTCCTAACCTGACCTGATTCATAAAACACTCATGAATCATGCTTCCTCCCCCAATGGAAAAACAGTTGCAAAGCTCAAGAATGTTTGCAGGAACAAGCCCAGATGCATCCAGCTGGTGCTTCAGAGATCCTGTCCTGGCCTAAAGACACCATCGGATCCACCTACCATCTCCAGTGGCGTCCATGATTTGCCATAGTGGATCCTTCATCTTCTAAGTAGGCTGGCTTACTCCAGAGGACAATACTGACAGCATACCCACCTCTCTGTGGTTATCAGTTTTTTCTCCCTAGTTAAAGTTTCAGAGGCAGATAACTCTTTTTCTGTCTGCCCTTCAGCACCCAAGTCCACATCGGTGAGTTCTCTGTGCCAGCAGCAAATAAGAGGGCTGAATCAAGGCACGGGTGAGTAGGTCAGTGAATGAGTCTGGGCACGTGTCCTTTTAAATCAGTTGCCTTTTAAAAGTTCCTGATTCCCAGGTGCCTAAGTATAGCAGGAACAGACACAGGAGCTGATCAGAAGGGATCATCAGAAAGCCCACACTGAACACAGCATGCAGAGGTGTGGAAGACACAAAGGAATATAGACATAACTCCAGTTTCACCAAGGCTGCTAGCTGAGTAGGTATGAATCAGGGCCTTAACAATTGGGGAGCAGGAAATGTATGTCTATACAGCACTAGGCTAAAACAGCCTTTATTACTCATGAAAAGACATCATTCTTAGAAAATATGCTTTCAGCAGATGTTCAATTAACATCAGATAACTTTGATGTCAGCCACCACATCAATTTTAATATAAATTCAAATCTTAAATTCTCTTATTTTCCTAGGTTCTTATTTTATCTTTTAGCATGGGTAGAAAAAAAAATCTAAGGTTTATATAAAGAACGCATCATTTTTTGTGTAAATACGTAAGTTATTCATGCCTGCAATTTTGAGGTAGTTATTTCACAGCCTGAAATGAATATAAATATTAGCCACAAAACTTCTTTCAAGTGGTCAACACTTTTTTGTTGCTGTATTATTCATCTATGGTCTGTAATATCCCTATTTCTTATCCTTAAAAAATTTGTACAAAATAATCTGAATAACCCATGTTCGGATTCAAAATATTTTGCACCAAAATAAACTTAAGTCTTGTAATTCCATTTCCCACGAACGTTCTGAAGACCTTTCAAGCAGACACACATCTCTTCTTGCATGGTGCCAAGCAACTGATACAGGGACCTCGTTTATGTCATCGCATTTGCAGAATCCACATCTGCATAACGACAGTGCACACCGTGACATCAGAAGCATTCTGTTGGTCTTTTCTTTACATAACGCTTGGATGTTGAGAGTGTGACTTTTCTGTCCCTGCATGACCTTAGGATATTTGAGCTGTGGCTAGAACGGGGAGCAGACTGGGTAACACTCCATTAGACTAGGACTTCCAGCTCTACCTGTCAATCACTGGCTAAACTGCAGAGCTCCACTGTGTTTGAATGTCGTGACTTATGATAGGAGGTGGTCAGAATGGATGTGCTACGATTTTGTGCATTGACCAAATTTATCATTTTTCAAAAAAGCTTCCAATTTTCTCATTCTTCAAAAAAGCCTCTAAAAAGCATTTCAGGAATTGAGAACTAAAATTAGATTAATGATAACCGGATTCCTAGATGCTAAGTGTCAGCCACATTCCTAGGGTTTAAGCAGTCAGTCCCAGGTTCACTGTGTATCTTGTTGCTGGGGTCATGTCAGAAGAAATTGCTAGAAAAGCATTTTTTGACTGCAGTCATTTCTGGGAACACATATTATAACATTTCTGAAAGAGCTTCTGAAAGACAGTGAACAGAATCCACTTAACCTGGCAAATATAATACTCAATTTGAAAAGATCCACCCAGAATTGCTTTGGAAAAGTGGTTGTGATTGACAATCTAAAGCCAACCCAATAGACAGTGCCTCCAGGAACAGTAGTTTTACCAGCAGCTCTTAAAAAGTTTCACTTACCTGTACCTTCGCTTTTACAGCCCCAGGAACTTGGTATTTCAACTCATGGGCTGTCGTCTGAGACTTGGGCAGCAGGAAAGGATAGGAAAGGGACCGATATTTTGGTTTCATAATCTAAAATAGAGACAAGCAGATAGGAGAGGTATGAATGGAAAAACAGATCCATACTTTACACTTTGTAATTATGAAAGAATTAGGAAGGAAATTCAGGGTCATTTATAAAACAAAAGAAAATGTTACTGGTGGACATTTTTAAGTGAAGCGCTATAGATCTGTGTTTCTAATATAATACACTTTTTCTTTTGTATTTCTATATTGTCTTCTTTCATTTCGTAGCAAGCATGTATTGTCTTGTATTTGTAAAAGAAGATTAAGTATACAGTTATAGATTATAATCTGATTGCAAAAGTGACATTATTATTTCATCAAATAAATTTTATCCATGATCCATGCATCTTGCCACAGAACTATATCATGTTATTATTTTATAGAAGTGTCATAGTAAAGTTTTAGGATTTTAGGATTCAGAGAAGGTCAGGAGACGAGATAAGGCAGATAAGGCTTGAAGTTAGGGGAGAAAGAATGGGGAGAAGGGATACAATGGAGCTGGGGGTTGAGGCTGTCCCAAGGGAGGGCAGGGGGCTTGAAGCCCTTCATTCCATTTGTACAACAGGCAGCCTTAAGTGCCCACTGACCCTGCTAAAGTGGGTGGGGAACCTGCAGAAAGCCTCCTCAGTGAAGTGTACAGGGCTTTGTCCAACAGTTGGAAATGCCCCAGGGTGGAGTAAGATGTTCCTAAGCAATAAGCATCCCAGCAGCCTTCAGATTATCTGTGGGGGCCATTTCACGAGGCTTGGGCCCGAGGCTTCAGTGGCCTTGCTGGTTCTACCAAAAGCGGAATGGAAACAGCTGCAGCTCATTTAATAGGCTTCTGTGTAACAGGCATTTCAGTTATTTCTCATTTTATTTTAATTATTAAGGTAATAACAAAACATATTACATGATTGGATTATTTCTTTAGCTTCAAATACCCAGAAATAGTTTTTCTGGGTAAAAGATGTGGACTTGTAAAAAAATTTATTGGTGGTTTATCAATTTATCTCCCTCAAACAGATGATAGATTATAGGTTATAAAAGCACACACACGCGTGCACACACACATACACACACACCAAAGTCAACTGCAGATACTGGCTTTTTTTTTTTTAATCTTTGTCATTACAGTAGGTTCAAAGTAGTACCTTCATATTTATCCATCCTCTCTAAATTTCTGTTAAAATTTTTGAGACTATTTATATGAATGAAAAATAAAGTGTTTAAAAAATTAAATCTTTTTGCCTAAATTATCAAGAGAAGTTATGCCTCATTATCACTCATGGGGCAGTAGGACCTTAGCAGCACTGGATTTAAACGCACAGCTTGAGTGTCGGGTCAACGATTAAAAATCCTGAGCCACACTAAAGAGGACCTAATCAAGAGACCAGAGAAAAGAAAACGGCTCGTTCTAACACTGTCTGCTCCGCTCAGAACCTATTCTGAATCCTGCACAATAACCTAGTACAGTGTCCTGAACTGTGGATATGAACACCAGTTTGAATCATAAATGCTCCACTTATCATCCAACTCCCAGCTAACAGTTCATCATAGGACATCAGAGTGCTTAAGTGCTTGGTCTCACTGCCCGTATGGATGGAGTTCCAGTCGCCTGGCTTTGGCCTAGCCCAGCCCTGGTCATTGCAGCCATTCAGAGGAGTGAACCAGCAGATGGAAGATTTCTCTCTCTATAAGTATCTTTGCCTTTCAAGTAAATGAAGCTTTCTTTAAAAACAAAGAGAACGTGACACAATCCCAGGTTTGGATAGCTGTCAGAGCTGTTCCCAGTGCAGCCCTTGAAGCCAACCTCCTAGTTTCTCCTGCAGCAAGGCCTGGGTCGCTTGCATCCAAGTACCTTTGTGAAGTTCCAGCGCTGGATGAAGTGCCGTGCGACGTCGCGAGCTGCCCTCCCATGGACCGCAGAGGCAATGTCGTGCCAGGGCATCCGGGGAGTGGAGTACCTGTCAATGAAGTCTGCCCACGTGCAAGGGGCAAGGGTGCGTCACTAACTCCTGTGCTGAGCACAGGAAGCCTGAACCCCAACTACGACACACAGGGGGCATCTGTGTTCTTCTCCTTGGCTTGGGTAGAACACCTTTACTGTCAACAGAGACATAATATTGAGGAACACAGGTCACCCCCCCCCATGCCTCTGCCAAACATGTTTCCATTCCATACAGTCCCATAAGATCCCCAGAGTGGGAGGTAAGTCAGTGTGAATCTGCTAAGGGTATATACTTGATATTCTAATTCCATTTTATACTTTGGAAATAATGGTAGGCTAAGCATGCATGGCCACCTGTAGAAACAGAAGCACCTGGGCACTCTCAACTGAAGCCGATCTAATGCTGGAAGATAAGAAAACAGTGATCAAAGGAAGGTTACCATCTCTTGAGGAATTAGATTATTAACCAGATTGTCCTTATAGGAAACCTGGAGACTTCAGACAGTGAACTCTGGCATATTCTTTCCTGAAAGTAGTTATAAGGCAAAATCCATCAGGATGCCCCTACGTATGACACCTCCACAGCATAACCAAGCAAAGGGCGTTGAGATCATGCACATGAACTTTGAGATGCTTTAAAGGCAAAGACAAAAACATCACTGACATCCCACTACCAGGATACTCACCAGCGAAAGGTTTATCGAGTTGGACCCAGTCTTTGAAGACAAAGTTGCAGTAGTCTTTCCCATGCCAGAACCTCGTTTCCCCGTGCAGCTCGCCCACACCAGTCTGTAAACTGCGGATGGAGCCAGTGTCTGTGGAGGCAGCAAGACAACCCCCAGAGACTGGGATTTAGCTGGGACCAGAGTATGAGGCTCACCTCTCACAATTTTTGAACTTTCTCTCTGGAGACTCATAACTGGGGGACCCCACTGCCTTCCAAACAAAGGTAAGATTACATAGCAAGATTACATAGCTTTTCTACATTTGACTTGTGAGGGACTATGACAGGTTCATCACGGGACAGTGAAAAGGGATATTCCAGGCACTTGAGCAGCTGGTTCTCTCCACTTTCCAGAGCCCTGGAAGATCCAATTATGGGGTTCACTGAGATTATGAGAGCCCAGTGGAACCAGGGGACTGTGGATACCATGAGATATAGATAGCCAGGTACCACTGCCAGTTCTGTCCTCAACCAACACAGTGCATGCCTAGCACCTAAGTCTTGTCTTTGCATCTTGAAAGCCAAGTGACACTGGGTTTCACCTTTTGGGGTCAGAAATCTCTTATGTGTAGAAGAAAGAATCGGGCCTCACTCAATGATAGCCAAGATCTTCTATCCTCTAACATTTCACATTCCTAAAATTATAAATGATACACATAAAAATGCAAAGATAGAAGTTTATAACAGATGCATGAAAGCAGCAATCTACTGTGGCATTTCACAAACATCTGCTTAGTAAACACTTAGGAGTTAAAGAGTTTGTAAGCCCAGGGCAAATGCTGACCACCAAGACAATGAAGCAGGAAGACTAGCAGATTCACAAATCACAAAGGCAGCAGGTGGCACAGAACAGGCACTCAACAAATCAACACTGGATGCCAAGTTACTCGTTGAGTAAGTAGGCAACACTGCTTGCAACAGCCAGCGGGAGGACGGGCCAGGAGGACAGGCTCGGCCTTCTCACCACCACTCTGCCCCCGTGCTACCTCTCTACAATAGAAAAACTCCAGCAGCCAGGAAGCAATCGGGAAATATTTGCAGAACAAATGTTTTATGTCCTCACCACACACAAAGCTAATATTTGTCCTAAAATGAATGATTAATCATCCAATGGTTATTGAAATCAGTCATGAAAGAAAAACGGCTTTGAGTCTGTGTTGTGGTATAGCAGGTTAGGGATTTGGGATATGGGCTCCCATTTCAGAGTTCAGATTTGGAACTGGCTATTCTACTTCCAGTCTAGCCTCTTGCTAAGATACCTGGCAAGGTAGTGGAAGCTGGCCTGAGTACTTGGGCCCCTGCCACTCAGGTGGGGATCTAGAATGGAGTTCTCAGATCTGGCTGCTGCAGCTGTTTGGGAAATGAACCAATGCATTGAAGATTTTAGTCTCTCTTCTTTCTTTCAGCCCTCCCCCACCCCACTCACATTGCCTCCCCACCCCCACCCTTGTCACTCTTTCAAATTAACCAAACCTTCTTTAGAACAAGAAACATCGCTTGAAAGCACCAATAATAAATAAAACTAAGTAATGGCAAAAAATACACTCCTTCTGACATCTCCCAGTGAATTATTTCTATAAAGACTGAACAGCAAAGCACTATTAGGTCTACTTGCTCACCTGGAGGCTCTTTATAGTAAGGCATGGCACTTTTTAAAGGAAAACAGGGAAAAAGAAAGGACAAATAATGAGATAAATACAGGGTCAAATTGAAAAATGTTCATATACATCTATAGTATTTGTTTCCTTCAGTTGAGAAACTCTAAGACATGGATATACAGACTCATTTAAAAATGTTCACTTAGTAATTTGTTAAGAAGAAGAAAACAAAACATAGCAAATTTCCAGTCTCAGAAAATTAGTCTTCATTTTAACTGAATTCAATGAATTCGTGATTCAAATCTGTTTACATTTTTACCCATGACCTAAAGGATTCCCCTTAAATCAAGGGGCTCCCCAGAACATATGGACTACGGAGGCACTCCACTGCACTGCAATCTGGCTCTTTGCCTGCCGGTGTGGTCAGAACAGAGTATCTGAGTCCAGGTGATGTACAAAGGAGGATTTACTTGGCTCCCCATTCTGTTGGTTGCAAGATCCAACTAGCGTAGTACCAGTGTTTAGGGAGGGTCCCCTGGGCTGTGTCACAGCATGGCAGAGAAGCAGAAAGGGAAACGGCTTTGTGTAGAACTGACGCACACATAGGGTGGCTCTGTTTTAAAACAATCTGCTCTCAAGAGAGCTAATCCACTCTGGAGGATCTGCCCCACTCCTGTTGAAAACTCTGGAATTGATTCCCCAGGGTGGGGCACCAGGCTAATCACCTTCCACTAGGCCCCACCCCATGAAGGTTCTTACACTCCAGCTTAGCACCCCCACACAGTATGAGGAGTCCAGCACATGCGCCCCTTTGGTACAAACTGCATCCAAACCATGGCAGGCTCCAGTGTGATCCACAATGGGTCTGCCTCGTGTTTGGACACAAGCTTGTCCTGACCGTTTTCCACACTCTCTCAGTGGCCCAGATTCTGACTTGTGGAGCTGGGGTGGTGTCTTGCTGCTCCCTCCTGCTTCCTCTCATAACCTTCCAAGGTTCCACTTCTCCTTTCTCCACTAGCTCTTCCTAACCAAGCTCCTTCCTCCTAACAGTTTTCCCTCACCTTCCCCTGTCCTTTCCCATATAATTCCTAAATGTACATGGATAGGCCTGTCTTCCTTCCTGACATTGTTTACATATATCTTTCATTAGCAATTATATCCAACACCCCCCATAAAAATTATGATTACCCCCCATAAAAATGAAGTTCTCCCTTACGGACTTCCTGTGTAGAGTTTTCTCAGGCTGAAAACTCAACTCGGACGCCTCCCTTCTCTACCCACCTGCCATCAACACTTCCTGAGTCATAATGAAATTCTGCTGCATTCTTGGACCATCCAGTGCGACCTAATGGAACTCCTCTTTCTCACTCTGGCATAACCCTGTAAAAGTTTACACTTACACCACTCCTCTCCAGTGGAATTCTCCAGTCAGGAAGGGATAAGGAACAGTGTATTTGTCTGACTTTTCAGGCCCTCTATAAACCAATATAGAAATATCCTACTGCCCCATCTATACAAATTAACTAATACTTGCCACACTTCCAAGGCTCTGGAAAATAATCCCTGTTTTTTCCCATTAGTTATTTATTAATAGGGCTTGACACGCACTAACAAGAGATTATTGGTTATCTACTGATCCCTCTCAGAGTTTGCTTACATTCTGTGAGTTTGCTGTACACTGCTGGGGCTGTTACATTACATTGCTTCTCACATCCAGATCCTTTTGATTTCAAAAGTAACTAACCCCAAGAATTCTCTTTTCTTTTGGGGGGGGGGAGATCATAGATTTATGTAGGGGCTGAAATTCATACTTATGACATTTCCCTCACTTAATGCTTTAAGATACAATGGCTTAGGCCCAGTACAATGGCCTTGTGGCTAAAACCTCGCTTTACAAGTACTGGGATCCCATATGTGTGCTAGTTTGTGTTCTATCTAGCTGCCTGACTATGGCCTGGGAAAGCAGTTGAGGATGGCAGAAGTCTTGGGACCCTGCACCCATGTTGGAGACCTGGAAGAAGTTGCTGGCTTCAGATCGGCTCAACTCCAGCCCTGCAGCCACTTTGGGAGTGAATCAGCAGACAGAAAATCTTTGTCCTTCTCTGTGCAAAGCTGACTTTCCAATAAAAATATACAAATGCTTAAAAAAAATGTTACAATGGGGCCTGGCGCAATGGCCTAGCAGCTGAAGTCCTCGCCTTGAACACCTTGGATCCCATATGGGTGCTGGTTCTAATCCCAGCGGCCCTACTTCCCATCCAGCTCCCTGCTGTGGCCTGGGAAAGCAGCTGAGGATGGCCCAAAGCCTTGGGACTCTACACCCGCGTGGAAGACCTGGAGAAAGTTCCTGGCTCCTGGTGCAGCACTAGCCATTACGGTCACCTGGGGAGTGAATCATTGGATGTAAGATCTTCCTCTCTGCCTCTCCTCCTCTCTGTATATATGACTTTGCAATAAAAATAAATAAATCTTTTTTAAAATATTGCAATGGCGTGAGCTGCCTACTAGGAAGAAAGCTCTCTTCGTAACAACTTACTGAATTTCTGCCTTTATTCTAGGCAAGTTCAAGCAGAGTTCCTTACTGAAATATACTGAAAACCTTTTGATTTTCAAAATTCCAAATGGTAAGATTAAAGGGTTTGTGGATTTGTACTACCTGTGTGGAGAAAGCTTTAGTGATGTCTCTTGAAGCCAGAGAATCTTCAGTGAATTGCTAAAGTACTGGGTTCACAAAACACTTAAAGACTATGCTCATTTGTTAGCTAATAAATTCCTTAACAAGAATAAATGGGTCTTACATATACATTACATCCCTGATAACAAAGTTTTCAACAGTTTAATCTATCACTCATTATCCCTTAAGACTCTATATTCAAATTTGAAAAACGTTTCTCAACAAAATTGCAAAAGAAGTATTTCTCCACCTCACTCATTTATGTAATGCAGCTTACAAGGAAAAGATCAGCATAGCTGCTGAACATAAGTGGAGGAAGTACAAAAACAAAATTATGTCATTTGGAAATCTCTCTTTTATAATGTAATTCTGGGAGAACACAATTCCTGGAGTCTATGGAAATCTACTGGCATTCTTAGTGGGATTTTTCTATTTACAAACCAAGGGTGGTCTTGTATGCACCATCCACACTCAATTCTGTTACTCCAGGAAGGTTTACTAGGAACTCAGATCAACACAGCTTGTTCTACTCAAGTGAAACTGACGCCAGAGAGCAGTTAACCTGGTTTCATATCCTCAAGAAAGGGAAACCATTCATTCAAACGAATAGCTTGTATTTCTAATGAAGAGACATTGCGTGCTTGGTTTCAAGTCTTTTAAGAAATGAGTTAAAGTTACCACTCAACTTAAGCCGAGAATCGTGCTCTTTGTATTTCCTTCATTATTTTTAGCACAAGCTTACCATCTTTGGAATTCAGAACGAACTCTGACAATGAAACCAATACAAGTGGGATTCTTCTGGGTGAAGCAGGTGCCAGCAGGGGCAGGAGAGGCCTGGGGTCAGCTACTCAGGCTTCCCTCACAGCCCTTGAGAAACTCAGGGCTGGAAAGTTCTGATGTCAAGAACTCAATTTTCCTTTGGCTTCTCTTTTAAAATCAATTTTTCTCATATTAATAATACATAATAAATTTGCATGTATAATTAACCAATAAAACCAGTAGGATGACAGTATCTACCATGTGGAAAGCAAATGAATCACTTCAAATTTCATCTTCCCAACAAAGCTGGCATCATGCATTTTTCCTTCGCCAACCTGAACCAGCTGCTTGCTCTGACAAAGTGGCAATCTTCCTCAAACTCTGTCTTCCCTTGCTGTCTTCCCCCGGCCTTCCCACAGTGGCACTAGTGACTTGAAGTCCTCGCCATCTATCATATCTCATATCCACTGCACTGTCAAGTGCTGTCAATTCTACTCTCAGAATATATTCGGTTGGTCATTATTCGTCACCTTGATCTGCTCTGCAGGATGAGTCTGTAAAAATGTAGTCAGAACGCATCCATTCTTTGCTTTGGACCATCAATTGAGCGCCTGTCTCACACACAGCCAGATTCTTAAACACTCCATAAAAACTCTCCCAATCTATTCAGCCCAATCCTCCTCCAAGCCCCCTGTCTCTCTGACGTTGCTCCATCATTTTTCTGCAGCTCACTAAACTGCAGCACATTCCTGGAGCCCAACCAATCTCGGTCCTACCTCACCACCCTGGCCCTTGCACTGCCTCCTGCCTGAGGCATCCTCAGACAGTCTCTTACTCACCCTCTTTTCTTTCTTTTGATTGAGTTGAAGACTAATTCGAGAGGTACTCTGAGAGGTCCTGACAAAGGTCACACAAAGTGCCCACTATTGAAGAAACTCTGCAGGAATTCGTTTCCTTCCATCCTTCCTTCCTTTCTTCTTTCTTTCCTCCTTTCCTTTCTTTTTTTCCTTTCCCCTTTCCTTTCTTTAATTTTTGCACCAAAATAAGGTTCTCTTTTAATTCCATTTTCCTTGAGCTTTCTGAAACACCCTTGTATACAGAATGGCAACCCATCCCTCTCTGCATCTGCCCTTATTCTCGTCCATTTCTCTCCACGGTAATCGTCACCCTCTGAATGGTGTCTGATGATCTATTTGTGTAGACAGTTCCCACCTTTCCCCCATCACTCAGCTGCATTTCATCTGTTACCGTTACTACATCACTAGTCCTAAAATGGCAACTGACATAATCAAGGAGATCAGCAAATACTTAAATAAGCACATCTACATTTGTTTTCTTTGTTCTTATAATTTTATGAGTCTCAATTCCTTCATCCAATCATCATTATGATCTTCTCTATTTTTCCACAATCTGATATTTAGGCTGTTTACTCTTATTCTCTCTTTTTCTCTCTCCAGAAACAATGCTGTCCTGGACATACATCCAGTGTAACAGTGAGGGGTTGTGAACACGGGCCAGGCTAATTCCCATCAACACAGGAAAACCCAACCCTCCCCAGCATCCTTGGCTCATCACCATGGCCATCTTCTCCTCAGCCTGAGTTATTTGCTGCAAGCAGCATCCAATTTAACCCTTCTCTGCCTGCTCTCAACCCTGTTGTAAGCAGCACTTCTACCCATCATAATCCAGACACCTCTACCTTATGATCTGGCAACCTCATTCCTCCATATCATTTTAAACACCTGACATAAAGAAACAATGCCACATATTATAATGAGGGGGTTACATGGTCCTGTTTCCAGCTCTCCGCCTTTAGTATCTCCTGTAAAAGATACTTGTGATCGGGCTCTGTGGATTCCTAGTGGCCTCTAGTTTTCGGAGCTTTGAAGTTCTGTCAAGTACGTGAATTACAAGGAGTTGTCCTTGAGTCTATGCCTCAAGCCCTAGCTGTATGCTGAATAAACGTCTCTCCAAGTATGTTCTCCATTTCAAATGTATAACAATGTAATTATATTTTTAAAAATTCAGTTTTTATTGCATAGTTACCTTGAAGCTTTTTGTCTATATACAGCCAGGGAATGCATTAAACAAAAATGGAGTACACAGAGTAAAGCAGGCTCAAGGTCCAGCCGCACTTATCAGTTTTATTAGCTGTATGGGTGACCGTGCCCAGGGGTGTCAGCAGGACGCTAACTCCCTCATCTTCTGCACAGTAGACAAGAGCGACCTTGGAATGAGGGTTACCAAGGATAATCTACATTTCTGCTAAATCACAAATCTGAATCATGCACACTGGGAGGCTGATAAGATGGCATTTATTGGGCCAGTTGATCACATCTCTAATCCTAAGATTACTGCTAAGCACGGCAAATGCTCAAGGCAGTCACATTCGGGATATGCACACAATGATGGGTGGCTAAGGTTTTGTTATTAGTATTTATTGCAGTGACTACTTATCTTTGTGCTCGCCAAAACCTCCTTCATTTTCATTTCTGTAGCTTAGGCCCTGATGAAGTAGTTCCTGGAGTCCCTGGTGCTGACACAGGGTTACCAGTTTGCAATTTTGATCATGCTGTATTTCTGAATACAGCCTTCATGTCAACACCTTCAAGATTTTGCACCCTGTCGGCAGTACGAACGTGACCTTGTTCGTCTTCGCAGTCTTGCAACAAAAATAGCCCCTGACCCAACCGGTAGTAGTTTAGGATGCTTTTCTATTCAACCTCTTTCACTCAACTCGCCTCCTTTACTTGCCAAGTCTCCCCATCCTCATTCACTCCAAACAAATGCCTCCAGATCCAAATCAGACTCAAAACATCTTCGTGACTCATCAAGGAAGAGGAAGTTCTCCCTCCTTCCCCAGCTCACACTTCACGGACTGCATCACTGTTAGGCATGTTTTCCCCTGTTGCTGGAGAGGAGGATCCCTGGGAGCCACTCAGCAGGTCACACAGAGCACACGTTCCGTAACACAAGTGGCCTGGAGATGGACACACAGCAAGGCAGCCTGGACACACGCTCCCTATGCCAGTGCAGTAGACGGTACAACAGAAGCTGAAGCCTGGCAGCTCTGTCAATCACATGTCACTTACCAGCATCAGCTCTAGTGAGTCCCAGCTCAGACTCACTGGGCAGGCCAAAGAGTTTCAAGTGGGGTTTTAGACCATGGATTAAATTCTGATGGCTTCTATAGTGATTAAAATAACCTGGAGAAAGTTGAAAGTTCTTGTTTTTTACACAGAAACACAGATGTACAGGGTTTTCTGAAGAGGAAAGCAAGTTTGATCATTTTTAAAAGGAGGCAGGGCTATAAAATCAGTCGTAAGGCTGCGCCCTACAGAAAATTGTAGGGCTTTAAGACAGACTTGAAAAGAACAGCAAATTCAGAAGACGGAGAGAGTCTGCTATTTGATGCTACAAGCTTGATGTGTTCCCAAATGGGAAAACATGAAATTTCTTCTAAGGAAAATGAATAAAAGTCCATCTAATACCTTTTTGCCCTGTCACAGCTTTGGCAAACTTTAGAAACCCTGTCATTCTTTTACCACCAGAAGCATGAGCTGTGATTGCTACAACTATTTGTATGAATAAAACAATAAACCTGTGCTACAACGGGGCAAAGACATGCGAAGGCATGATCTTGAGTAAGACGACAAGACTCTTCTGCATTGTGTAGACCGACTTGGAGAACGGGTACATTGTGACCAGCTGTGGACAAAACAAAGTGACACCACAATCCAGAACGGCCAAGAGTGCGACTTACTGGAGGCACTCTCAATACTGCTGAGGCTGTCGGAGTTGTGTAGCGGATGTTTGTGTAGCTGCCTATAGAGGCTAAACTTGGAGAACCTTCTTGGCTTGCCGACCCCTTTCAGTTTTGAATCCACATCATCCAAGCTCTTCCTGGGTGGCATATCCTTGTTGGGTTGATTTTTATCTTTGAGGGTTAAGGACTCCATAGATCCTATGGTGGCAGCCTGAGGAAATTATTTTAAAGAAAAAAAGACATTGAATAAGATAGGATGCAATGCAGCCCTTTGGTGCAGCTGAGGGGCAAGGCTTACACCTGCTGGGGGCGTGCCAGGACACACAGAATCCCTCCCAGGTCAGCCACAGGGCAGCGCAGATTCCTGGAGCTGCTGAACACAACCTTGTGACTGCTTTCTGGGAGACCAAAATTCCTGAAATTTCACCCCAATTAACCTTTTTATCTTAAATACCACTCCATGAGCTACATTCATGACTGTGTGAGCAACTGAACTGCTCCTGCTGAAAAACAGTGAACAAACACCACTGCTTCTGTTCTCTGTTCCCTAACTCAGGAAATCACTGTTTCCCAGAAAAGTCATCAAGAGTACACAGAGCCAATCAAAAGTTCTAGTTGGCGTATTAATGTTTTGCAGTCATTCCATTGCAGAAGCAAGCAGATGGATATACATATAGAGATTTCTTGGCACTTCTTGATTTGAAAAGTATTTTGAGATGTTATTCACTTCCTGCTCCAACAGAATTCCCTCAGGTGGACCCATGTTACTTTTGTCCATTCTTAAACAGGAAGATTTCAAATGCCTTGGCAGCTTCTTTTAATAAGGCACCATGCCATTACTGAGCTAACATCGTCATTTTCACACATTTTTGTTTAGGAACTTCTTATTTACGCATAGAACATCAATCTTTAAGTGGGACACCAGGGAGAGGAGCATGAGCCAGGAACACTGAGTTGCATGTGTTTTCTTACAAGGGAGGAGACAGACTTAGCTCAGCTGCGGAGGCTGGGATTTGAAACCAGGGCTATCTTCTATCTCCCCAAGGAGAAGTCACCTGTGATTCAACCAACCAGGCGATCAGTCCATCAATAAAACACTGCTACAAAAGATGCTCCCTTTGGGCCGTTCCATGGCGGGGGACATTCACTCACCGTGAGGGACCCCAGAGACGGTCCTGAAATAACACGTTTCACGCTGCCCACGTCTGTGAGTCTATGTTCATTGTCATCCCACCTTCCGTAGGCCAGGTCAATCCCACCCACGAAGGCCACCGACTGGTCGATGATGACGAGTTTCTCATGATGAGCCCACAGATAGACACTGGATGACACGTGATCTGGATGCCGCATCACCTAGCGATGGCAAAAGTTCCTCAGTAGGTTTAAAAACAATGTTTTTCCTATCATACTAAGCTAGATCTACTTTTTCCCTGAAAAGCATTTCTAATATTTCAAATAACAAAACATGGTAAGTATATGCCTACCTCAACCACTGCAACATCCCCCTACCAACAAATTCCCAAATTACATAGCCAAAAAAACTCCTTTTTACGCCCTCCTACCCTGCACACAGATCCCATATTCAAGGTACGCCCTCCTACCCTGCACACAGATCCCATATTCAAGGTACGCCCTCCTACCCTGCACCACAGATCCCATATTCAAGGTAGCGACCATGATGTACACTTGATGAAAGCTCAGTGTGATAGTTGGTTTCCTTTTCCTTTTGATTATGTTTTATTTTTAAATTTTTTGGTGAAAGGTGGATTTATAGAGAGAAGGAAAGACACACAGAGAGAAAGATCTTCCATCTGCTGCTTATTCCCCAAGTGGGCCCAGTGGCCAGAGAAGGGCAGATCCAAAGCCAGGAGCCAGGAGCCTATTTATTTATTTATTTATTTATATTTATTGGCAAGTCAGATATACAGAGAGGATGAGGGACAGAGAGAAAGATCTTTCATCCACTGATTCACTCCCCAAATGGCCACAACAGCTAAAGCTGAGCCAATTCAAAGCCAGGAGCCTGGAGCCTCTTTTGGTATCCCATGTGGGTGCAGGGTCCCAAGGTTTGGGACATCCTCAACTGCTTTTTCAGGCCACAAGCAGAAAGCTAGATGGGAAATGGGGCCACCGGAATTAGTACTGGAACCCACATGGGATCCTGGCATATGCAAGGCAAGGAGTTTAGCCATTAGGCTACCACACCAGGCTCACTAGGAGCCTCTTTTGTGTCTCCCATGTGAGTGTGGGACCCAAGGACTTCATCCATCCTCCACTGTTTTCCCATACCCTAAGCAGGAAATTGGACTGGAAGTGGAGCAGCTGGGACATGAATCAGCATCCATGTGGGATGCCAGAGCCACAGAAGAGGATTAGCTTGCAACACCATGGCACTAGCCCCCTTGGTATCACTGTTGTTAAAACTCCAAACGTCAACATCTGTGGCTGGAAAATGAACAAATTGGATTTGGTAGCTACTGAGTCGGAAGCCTAATGTATGAATATAGGCACAGAAATCAGAAAGGAACTTGGAGGAATGAGTGACCTCAGGCTTTCAAACAGAACTCCCTAAATGAATCATGTGACCTATCCTATTTTCATGAGCCTTCGCGGCACACTTTCAAAAACTTTGGCAAGAACTTTTCATTGCAGTAAAACACATATAACATAAACTGTCACATCATAACCATTTTGAAGTGTACAGGTCAGTGCTCATAGGGCAATGATATATCAGGGCATCTTCTACCCTTTTCAATGTTTGGAAACCTTTGAGAAGGACTGATTATAATTCAGTAAATATTTTGTAGAATTCCCCAGTGAAATAATCATATCCAATAGTTTTTTGTGTGTGGAGTAGTTTTGATATTGACCAATTTCCTGAAGTTATGTTGATCAAGATCGTGTATTTTTTTCATAGTTCAGTCTTGCTAGGTTCTGTGTTTCCACAGAGAATTTAGCAACCTCATCTAGATAATACAATTTGTTGATGCATTATTGTTCACAGTAATAATGTTTATTGTTAATATATTTAAAGTGTCAATAGATTAATACATTTCTGTTATGATTCAACATTCGTTATAATGGTAATTATTTATATGTTAAAATTAATAATAATTATTGTAAAGAGAGGAAAATCTTCCATCTACTGGCTCACTCCACAAGGGGTCACAGCTGAGCCAATCTGAAGCAATGAGCCAAGGGGCTTCTTCCAAGTTTCCCATACGCGTATAGGGTTCCAAGGCTTTGGGCCATCTTCGACTGCTTTCCCAGGCCACAAGCAGAGAGATGGATGTGAAGCAGGGGCTGCTGGGATTAGAACCACATTTTACATGGCATTCCAATATATACAAGTTGGGGACTTAAGGCCCCTAGGCTACCACGCCAGGCCCAAGCTAGGTTATTGAATCAAAAAGAACTAGAGGAGATCTCCTGCCATTATCAACCCTCTGGGGATGAAACCGGGGGATCTCCTCCGAAGTGTCTCTAGGATAATCTTAGGCAAACTGTGAAGCGTTTGCAGTGATCTTGGCTATTAAAGCAACTGTAGAAAGTATGTTCCTGACTAATCTGTCACTTTGAATTATCAAGGTCAGAGGGACAGACACAGGAGTTCTGAGGACTCTCACTGGTTGAGATTTTTCTGTATTTCCTAAGATTCCATTATTTACTTAAAATACATACTAGAAAATTACGTAGTTTATTGAGAACCATAGCACATGTACCTGAAAATTACATACAGAAGCAAGACTGGTCATCGGGGTTCATTTAAATACCTTGATATTGGGGTGTAGATGCATTAATGTCCTCTTGCTGTATTCACTATTGATTCCAAGAGCAAGTTCGACTTCTTTGTAGAGCATAATGAAGATCCTCACTCCTTGTTGCTGTCACAAGAGAAATGCATGGAAGAGCAAGGGTATGATCTTCCTTTCTGTGCACCATACTGTCTTCTATTAACAAGTATAACAAAATAACTAATAGACAAGGAAGTGAAGCATGAGTGTCTATTAAGACACCAATACCAAAACTAACAATTTATCTCATTTCCATTCTTCGGTCTTCTTGTATCAAGAGTGTCAGTATTTAATTAATTCCAGATCCAGAAGCTGAAGTTGTAGCTCCAGTTGTTAAGTATTCCATAGTCTTACATAACTTCTAAAAACTAGTATTTGAGGAGCAGAGAGACATACACAGAGAAAGGGACAGACTGACAGCGCTCCTGTGCAGTTTCACTTCCCAAACATCTGTGTAGCTGCAGCTATACCAGGGTCAAAGCCAGGAGCCAGGAGCTCAGTCCAGGTCTCCCACAACGCTGGGACCCAGTGACTCGAGCCATCACCGCTGCCTCCCAGGCTCTGCCTTAGCAGGAAGCTGAAATCAAAATCTGCTCTGACTCAGGCATTTTAGCGTCTTAACTGCTAGGCAAGATGCCCATCCCAGTCCTGTAACTTGGAAACACCTGTCACCGAGGAGAGTTTTGATCTGATTCATGTTACAGGAAAAGAGATGTTGCTTGGTTGACCTTCATTATCTCTCAATTAGGTAAAATAACTGACCATTTTTTGGATGCAATACAGAGTGGTATAAATAACACTGTTGATGCGAATCAAAAAGACTGTGCAATCGCAGGAAACCGCTAGTATTTCTATTTTAGTTGTGGTTCATGACAGGCTTTCAGTCTTGGCTAAATTGCTCTGGGACCTGAACATTCACCCTCTTCTCCACCCCAACATAAGCTCAGAATGTACTTCCTGCCAGGCGCTCTTAGCCACCCCTACTCCCTGGGTCACTTTTTCCTCCTTCTTTGTATCCTCAGGACTGCTATGCAATTCACACCCCCGAGATACTCATTCTCTTCCCCACAGCTGTGAAAGCATGCGGAAACACCGCATACCACTGGATTCAAGTGGCTAATGACATCTCGGCATGTAACTACCTAGAGATTAAAGGCAAGAATTTTTTCCTAATATTTTCTATAGTATTTAAGTATGCAATTGCATCTCATAAAATCTAATGTCAAAGAGTAATTTAGTCAATGTTTAATTTGGTAATCCAGGGTTATCAGTAATTTTTCATAGCATAAATTTGAATTAAAATTAATCTTACTATGTCAAACTCAGGAAGAAATGAATGTTTTGCATTGCTGTTTGATAGGAAATAACATAGGAGCTCATATTTTTAGGTTTTAGATCACAGGACATAAATTTTGGTTCAAACCAAGCACAGATCCAATTCCCCAATATTTCTTGGTCAATAGTATTAAGCATGTCGGGGGTTGAAATTCATCATAAGAACAAACCATTGAAAATTGCTAACATGTTCTTTTTGTTGGTGTCAGCAATACCTGAGAGTACACACAATTTTGGAAGAACACACTTTACTGACATGTTGGTGTGCACTGGAGCAATCTGAGTACCTGGAGAAGACCCACTCCTGTTCTTAGAAACACAAGATCCAAAAGATTAAACATGTCATTCCGTTTCTACACTGCCCTTTGGAATTCCCTCATTGCTTACTGTAATCATGGACCATTATTACAGTCAAGTCCATCAGTACAGATTTAAGCAGCACAGGAAAGAGGCACGGGCTAGGCATGGACCGATTAATTTCAAATGATTTTAGCCGGCAAGCGCTCCGCAAGGAATCATACTGCGTGAAAGTTTCATGGCGAAGTCGGAAGCCGATCCCATCCTTCAGTGCTACCGTGCAAGTTGTGTTCTGCTATTCAAAATCAGAGTGCAGCCAGAGCAGCCACCACATGTGGCTGCCCAGCAGAAGGCATGAGACTCTGTATAAGTTCCCGTGTGTCCAAAGCTGACATGCCACCTCACAGCCAATGTCTAGCCCATGGCAGATGAGGACAAAATGCAGCTGGGTAAGGTGGAGGAAGGAGGGAGAGCAGCAAAGGCCTGGGGCTGCAGAGGTACTCTCGGCAGAAGCTGGAGATGCTGAGGCCTTCCTGGAGGAGGAGGAGGGCCTGCCTCCACCCTCTCTAAGAGTCAGAGACAAGCCTGTGATTTGTATGTGACAGCAGCCCTGCACTACTCAACCACCAGTCAGTTGAGCATTTTTTTGAGTCCCCCTTGCAATTACTGCTTATTAAGGAAAATTGGGGAATTTTAAGAATCATTTAACCACCCAAATGCTTCCAATGTTAATAGTTTGGTGTTAAAGGTTTCTCTAGAAATTTCTGTACATAGATTCCTGGTATGTTTATATAGTTATTACCTGCTGTACATATAATTTTATGTCCTTTTTGTACTTAACATACATTTTTTTTCATGTTAGAAAAAATTAGGACTTAACACTGGATAAAGGTTTCAAAACTACAGCCTCTCACTTAAAATATAATGCAAAGCTAAAAACCCCAAATTCCAAACTAAATTATGAAATATCACACCCAATTTCTTTCATCATGGCTTATTTGTCTTAAGTGAATAAAATTCTGCTCCTTAGGCTTATAGCATTCATACTCATGAAGAGCTGCAAATTAAGAACTTGGTCTGAATCCTACAACTTTCCTTCTAGTGGAATAACTAATGGGAATTTTAAATAGTAGAGATGTTATCATTAATGGATTACATTATTATCCTCCATTTATTCAGACCTGACATTTTCTCCTATATTATGTCTTTACTCATTGACATAAATGGACTCCAAAGGAAATTGGGTAGAAAGTTTTAAGTCTTTTTGGCTGAAATACAAATGACTAATAAGGAAGTAATAAAATATTACAAAGTTTATTTCTTAAAGTGGTTTATAATTACATGTCTATAGCCATAATAAACAGTTAATTAGTAGGAACTTATGTGATACATCCATTATCTTTTGGTCATGACATTACAACACTATCATAAATTCTACCCTGAGCCCGGTGTGACAGTCTAGTGGCTAAAGTCCTCGCCTTGCATGCATAGAGATCCCATATGGGTGCCAGTTCTAATCCCAGTGGCTGCACTTCCCATCCAGCTCCCTGCTTGTAGCCTGGGCAAGCAGTCAAGGATGGCCCAAATCCTTGTTGGAGACCCGGATGAACCTCTAGGCTCCAGGCTTCAGATTAGTGCAGCTCTTGCCATTGTGGCCACTTGGGGAGTAAATCAAAGGATGGAAGATCTTTGTCTTGGTCTCTCCTCCTCTCTGCATATCTGAACTTTAAAAAACAAATTCTACTAGTAAAGGGCACAGTAAATGCATCAATCAGGAACAAAGGCACCTGTTTCACTGTGGGTCTGCAGTCTCATAATCTATGGGAAATCATTTCTCCACAAGGAAAGCTATATGGAGAAAAAGGACCTGCGTTAACCCGTGACTTAGAAAGCACTCTGTGAAAACATCCTATGTCTAACACCTTCCCGTGACCAGAGGGAAATCAATTCTTCGCTAGGAGGACGTGTGTCCTGGAGTTGACCGTGACCACCCAGTGTCCTGCTTCTGTTCACCTCAACCAAGTCACATATTCCAGAGAAGAGAGTTGATGAAATCAAAATCTGGACAGAAAACCTCTTTGTCTTTACCTTATGTCCTGGTTAGCTTCTCATCAAATAGAGCAGGCATGATAAGGAGTAAGAAGTTTTACAATACAATACAAAGAACTTTTATTTTTTATAATAGAATTTTTTAGGAGCTTTAGATACACTAATTTCATGTGAATACAATGAAAAACATTTTTATGACAAAAATGAAAGAGGCTTTGATTCTTAGCCAGATTTCTTTCTCTGATTAATGTAGTGTGGTTAAAATATTTTCTAAATGCAGCCAAGTTTCTCCAAGGAAACAGCTTAGTTTCCACACCCCTCCATGCCAGGATTATCACCAGCCAAGGATTTCCCAGAGGCTTCAGGAAGAATAAAAAGAAATTGTGTCCTGAACTATAACATAGAGCAGTGCTCCGTCTATAACAAATTTTGTTTAAAGCACAATCCTGATGGTTACAGACACCATCTCCGCTTCCTACAAGCCAGGTTTGCCCATCCCTGATAGGGCCACATCTACTTTCCTGTGCAGGGATGTCATGACTTGTCTTGGCTCCCAAGCCTGGTCACCTGTTCCTTTACGGGGGTCACTAGACTGCAACGCTACAATGCCAAGACCAAAACTAAACCTGGAAACAAACCCTCCTCAGAAGCTCAGCCCCTCCTCAGAAGCTCAGCCCTCTCCTGCAGGTCCCCAGGGTGCTGCATTTGCAGATGCCTTCAAGGCAAGCTTTGTAAGGAACAGCATACAAACGCAGTCACTACCCAAATCAGAATACAGTATATGTCACTTTTTAGCAGAATAAGAGCAAAACTACAGAAACATCCAGCATGCTGTTTGCTTTGCGGTGTAAGCAATGTGCCTCCCAATACTAGTTTAAACTATTTGAAATAGTGACCCTTACATATCAGCAGGGTGCAGGCAGACGAGAATTCCAATTTGTTGCCAGAAAAGCAAAATAGTGTTCCTTTTTCCTATCAAACAGGACATTTTCCAATATGTTGGGCTATATAGCAGAGATCAGTTGTAAATCATTCTTTGAAAATCTGCACAGATAGAAGGGAAAAAACTCATTTTAATCAAACTTACAGACCTCTGGGGCCCATTAATGCAAAAATAAATATTATGTTTCAGCCCTGTAATTTGTGAAGCTAGCATGTGGCTTTCAGAAACTAAATTATTTACATGAAGCAGTGTTTATGTGCAACAAAATGTCAAACTTTAATGATCCGAGTGTTAAAAATTTATGACAAAAGTAAGAATATGCTGTTGTGGCATTCTGCCAAGCCTACCACTGAGAAATTAATTGTTACTGTTATTACCATTTCCCCAGGAAAAGAAGAAAATAGTCACTCAAATTTTTAAAATGAGAAGCTTCTAGAACGCAACACAATTACCAGGCAATGGCGTTTGCTTGGTCATGGCATGCACCAGCAACCTCACAATGCTAGCTACATAAGAGGCAACTGGATAGGCACACTAAGGGTAGTCGACAGACACTTGTCAGCTAACACAGTTGGAGGGCCAGGTCTCTGGGAGCTTCCTCCTGAGCTCTGCTGAGGCGTTTTCTAGCTTCCTCAGATTCACTTACACATCCTGTGGATGCTTTACAATCAAAAATTGAGCTTTCTGAATTGGAGTTACCCCATTTCTCCCACACTGTATTCTGATCAGGACACCCATGTTTCTTCCCACTGTCCATCAGGAAGTCCCAACTGCTGGCTTCACTCCTAGATCTTCACCTCCTGATTGCCAGCAGTTGCTACAGCCTAGTCTCCATCCTATTTGTGCTAACTCCGTGGGGCAGAGTCCCTTGACTATGATGGATACAACCTTCAGCACAATAATTACCGCATCTAGAAATGTCTCTTTTCCTTATCAAAACCAGATTCCCATTCTAAGTCCCTTATACCCTTTGCCTGAACAGATCTGTCCAATGCCCTCCCTATTACCTCTGCGACTGGGCCCTACTCTGTACCCAACTGTACCATGCACAGATTTTTAAGCTCCTTCATAGCTTTTATCCATGCACAACTGCATGATTTGCCAAGCTCCCTCATCATAGTAGATATTTAACAAATACACACCAACTGAAATCTAAAACAGTTTAGTATGGGATTAAAAACTCTGAGGACAAGATTCTCCAGTGGGTGAGGAGACTGCTTGTCAAGGCTGGAAACCTAAAATGGAGCCTTGAATGGCTCTGTGAAAGGAAACCTGGAGAAAGCTATAGTCCATTCAACAGAAGTTTGGTAAAACTATGACTGAACACAAGACATGATTCCTAGGGCAAACCTTATAGGGGCACGCTGAAACTGATTCACCTCATTGTCACAGGTGAATAGGGACAGTACCTGGGCCAGAGGTGGCATTTTGGAGATTGTACTGAAATATGTATGCATTTGTGAATAACACCTTTCAACACGAGGATTTCTAATTTTGTGGATGGAATTCTGTTGATACATTGAATTAGAGCATCCACTAAAGTGATGCCATTTGGTGGGACATGTGTCTGAAATAAAAATTAATAACTTCTGCCCTCAATATGAGCAGTAATGCCTGACTCTACGGATATCCTAAATCCTACTGGAAACACATGGAGGAAAAAAATGCAAGAATGGAAGAAAATGGATGAGAAAAGAAGAAATGGAATTCAGAGGCTAGGAAAGAAGAAACGGGCAAAGATGAAAAGAAACAGAGAAAGTGCTGCTCCCCTTTACTTTGGATCTGTACACGCCACTAGAACGCTTAGTGACAGAATCTGTAAAGGGTCAGGATGGTTTCAAATGACAGTAAAAAGTTTGGCACCCTCTAATTTTGATATGGCCAACAATAATCCAGATCTAGTCTAGTTTACTTAGAATCACTGGTTGCAGGCCTGCTGCATAAAGAACTCCAAGAGTAACACTAATGGAGTCATTGATAAATCCATATTGCTTCAGTTACTCACTTTTCATAATAAGAGGCACAGCCAATGTTCACTTAGGCTCTACAGTTTAAATGTTATATCGTTACAATGAGCACCCCCACACTGAGACCGAGGCACCACCAATTTACACCAGTGTGGCCCCAGGTGAATAAAACTATACTCTAAGTGATATTGTCTTTAGCTTAAATTGATGGAATGATGAGTAGTGTATTTTATTTCATCACTTAGTATTCAAAAGATGAAACTCTCTAACCTTTTCTGGCTGATGAAATTAACTCCCCAGACCTAACTAACACAATTTTGATTACAAAATTTTGATAATCCATACTGTTAACCAGGCTAAAATATTCATTCATTCAAAAGTAACAAGAAAAATATTGAACCACATGAATTGGAAGAGAATAAGGAGAACTCTAAAATTAAGAGGTTTTGTTCAATTCTAGAGAGTTCCGAGTATGCATGAAAGAGGGAATTCAAAGGCAACAAACATTGAAAAAGTCGTTTCAACAAGGGTGATGACAGTACGCACTGCTTTTCGTTTCAGAACACAGTCCAGCCTCCACCGATTTCCTTCCACTACGGGGCGTTTCAGGAAGATTTCTGGACTCAACCTGAAATCATGAAATCAAGATCTCAACCAATCAAGACAAAAACAAAGTCATGACTGTGTCAGAGGAACAAAACACAAAGCTCAGATGCTTTCACCAGAATGCATCATGGTAAGGGCAGCCAAAATTTTGCTAATGAGTCAATGTCAACTTTAGATAGAAGGAAGGGTTTTTATTCACACAAGTTTATTTTTGTTTCTTTTACAAATACACACACACGCATACATTTAAACACATGAAGATATTGTGAATCTCCAGCCAACATCCATTTACTCCCATGCTCCCCTACTGTCTGGCCTCCTTCCCTTTAGAATTTGAATATCCTAATCATGTTTGTACATCGAGACCATGACATGACATAATCCACCACATGCAGCTAGAGGCTGGACCCTGTTTCAGGAATGACATTTTGGGATGTGCAGCCATATTCATGTTGTGCGGGCCGATCTGAACTTGGAAATCATTAGACCCTTCCATTAATCCTGGCATCAACCATGTTTGAATTCCTCATTAAATGAGACAAATTCTCAGTGTTTAAGCTTCTTTAACTCTGCAGCGCTATCCTGCTGGAAACATTCTGATTCACAGACACACTAACTTCTGTATCAAGGAGAGTGCCCACGAGAGCCTGAAGCTGTCAGAGCAGGGAAGAAGGGTTGCTAAGAGGCAGCATTATTCTAAGTGAGCATGGACCCTTGCACATCTCCCAAAGCACTGCCACAAGGCACAGGAAAGAGCACAAGAGAGCCACAGCTGGCCCCTTTGGGCTGAAACCAGCTGTAAATGATATAACTCCTCTACTGGGAGGAAAAGCAAATTACTACTACTACTAAAAAAACAAACAAAACAAAACAAAACAAAAAAAACAAAAAACCTTTTCTCTGCTGAAATTTGAAGCCTCAAAAAGCAAGGGCAGCTTGTGCAAAAATTAACACCTTTTAGGATTCTGGGTTGGCACAGCGCCTAGCCATGGAGTCCCAGCATGAGAAAATAACAGGGCGAGAGGAGTCACAGGGATTAGAAGGAATCAGTTTTATGCTCTATTTCACTCAGTGAAAGAAAATAAAACTCCAAAGACAAAGTCTCTAAAGGAAGCACATATTGGAGTGGAGACGTAAGAAAACGGGCAAATGGAAGAAGAGAATGTATAGTGTTAGCACCTGCACAACTAACTTAGAGTAAGAAACAACCTCACAGGGAGTTCACGTCCAAACAAGCAAGCAAATAAAACAAAGAAATCGATATAAGAACAAAAGAGAAATAAAGTTTGTCTTAACTACAAAGTGCATCTCTGCACACTGTAAATTCCTTAACGCAGGAAACATTCAATGTCACACACTGACAATCACATCTGTATAGATGCATATCTACACAAATTCATATCCACATACATATATACACATACATACACACACATTAACTGTTGACTCAATGGGGTTAAGCTTGGGGTCATTTTAAAAGGCATACTCTACGATTAAGCTTTAATTATATTTTCTTTATTCTCTCATTTCAACTCACAAATATCATGTACCCTGTTACACAGAGCGTTCCACTAGATATTTCGAGGACTGTAAGATAATTCTTATCAAGCTATTTTGAGGATACTACATGCCATGAAGCAAGACTAACATGAATACTAGAAACATGGCAAGAAGAAAGCAGTGGTGACTCATTAGTCACCATTCTATCAGGACATTTTCTGATCAATTGTTAGATCAAAGTTGGAATTGAACTCTAGGGCGTTGTAGAGAACCTTAGGACACCAATGAATGTCAGACGCCTAATCACTGCATATATCACTAAGAAAAGGCAGCAAAAAACTAACTAACTGTACAATAGCACTGAACGTGAGACACATCTTGATTCTGCAGATGTTACAATGTACTGTTCTGGTTTTAGAAGACGAAATGCTTATAAGAGAAAAAAGCCTAAAATGAATGATCTAAGTACCCATTTGAAGAAGACAGGAAAAGAACAAATTAAATCCAAGAAAAAAAAGGAAGGAAATAATAAACAAACAGAACTCAATGAACTATGAAAATGGAAAACAACAGAGAGGAAAGCTGGCTCTTTGAAACATCAGTTGCTGGGGTCCGTGCAGTAAGTGTGAATGACATGAAGGTGTGAAGAGACCAGCTCCCCTGCTTGGCAGGACCTGGGGGAGCTCCCAGGTGTTTGGCAGGGTCCAGCGGATGTCTCTCCATCTACCTTGATGTGGTTTCACCCTCTTTTTGCATGGACACTCAAGCACCCCACTAAGAATTCTGTACTCTATTGACACATTGTTGCTTGCCCCTGTGAGATGGCTTTTGTAACTGACGTGAGCTTGGGAGTTAATGTTATGATAATGTCCTGGTGAGTTGGCCTTTAACTGTGCACAGGAGTATAATTAAGCCCATGCCGTTTCTCAACACCTTATTGTGTGCCTACCCATTGCCCTGTAATCTGGCCCAGACATGCAGCATGCTTCTGGGAAATGGCTTGATAAGAATCTTACAAACTAATGAAAGTGATGGGAGTATGAACTGAAATTGCTTTGACAAAAAATATAGCTACTGTGACCCTAAAAGGTTAGCCTGTACTTGCAATTCTTTAGAGCATAGAAAATGTAGCTGTCTTAGCCACTTTTATAATATTTTTAACTAGAGGAATTATAGGGTGATTTTATCAATATCATAGAGATATGCTTTTGATTACTGTTTGATTGTTTATGGGGTGAAATTGTAGGGGGGTTTAATATTTGAAACTTTTGTCTTGGATTTTTACGTTTTTTCCCTTGTAACATATTTCTCCCATTAAATGATGGGCAAGTTGTGGAAACAGAAATGTAGTAGGAATGTATTACTGATTAGTAGGTAATTGCATGTGCCTCGGCCTTGGAGTTCTGGCTGTCGCCCAAAGGCTATTACTGCAGAATGAATAACGACTTGGTTTGAAGAAAATTATCATGGTAACTTACAGAATTATCTTTAAGAGCACCTGGTTGACCATGAAGTAAAAAATAAAATAAGCATCTGTGCATAACCACTTAGTTATGAAGTAAAAATAGAACAATCAAACAATTGTGCAGAGGCTTGTGATGTGTCTGAGTAAATAAAAAGGACAACTTCTTCTTGAGCTGTTACAAGAGGGCACCAAGTGACAGTGTCCATGTCTTTTCTTATCGCCAACTCCACACACCCTTCTTGAGCTGTGAACTCAGCTGGAGCTGGGCTCCGGCAATCAGTAAGCTTGATAAACCTCTAGCATGAGCAGAAAACAAGCACCAATGGCAACATGAAAAAACACAATACAGGAAATCAACATAAAGTCAACATAAAGACACTGAGATGATAGTAAATGGTTAAAAAGAAACTGCAAATCACTTTATGTCAACAGGATATATTTATTTACCTTTGTTTTTGAGATTCAGATGGAGATAGACATACAAAGACAGAGAGAGCCCCTATGCATTGGTTCACTCCCTAGATGCCCACAGTACCGACTTCCGGGCTTGGAGCCAGAGCTAAGAGCCATGAAATCAATCCAGGCTTTCTGTAAGGTGACGGACTAAAAGCCATGTGAGTCAATACTTGCTTTCTCTCAGTATCTGCCTTGGCAGGAAGCCCAAACTGGGAGCTGGAGCCAAGAATGGAACCCAGATACTACAACATATAACAAGAGCATCTGAACAGCTAGGTCAAATACTTTACCCAGTGCTTACACTAATTCAGAAAAAAAAAATGAACAAATTCCTGGGGAAAAGTTTCCAAAATGGAAACAAAAAGGAACTGAAATTTTGGTTAATGTTATATCTATTCAAAAACTGCATTCCTGGGGCAGCATTGTGTAACAGGGACTCAAGACTCCATGTTTGACACCAGCATCCTGAAACAGAGAGCCAGTTTGCATCCTGGCCACTCTGCTTCCCATCCACCTCCCTGCTAATGTGCCTGGAAAGGCAGCAGGATACAGCCCAAGGCCTTGGGTCCCAGCCCATCCCTATTGAAGACTTTCCATACAGAATTCTGGTTTTGGTTATGGACCAGCCCAAGATGTTGCAGCATTTGGAAAGTGGACCATCAGATGGAATATCCTTCTTTCTGTCTCACTCTATGCAACTCTGCCATTCAAAGAAATTCAGAGAGAGAAAAAATTGGATTAATAAACTAAAATTTTCTGGCAAATAAAACATATCCTGATGATTTTATAGGTGCGTTTCATAAAATATTTGAAGAAGTCATGTCAGTTCTACTAAATTCCATCACAAAAGGGGAGTGGATTTACTACCTCATTTAAAGAATCCAGCACTATCCTTGTACCCAAACCAAACACAATTCAAGAAAACACACACACACACACACACACACACACACCCTTCATGGTCATAAAAATGAAAATCTTTGCCCAAAGTCAAGTAGCTTAAAGAAGGGTTAACAGATTCTGATAAAAAAAAATATTATGTTGGGAATATAATTTGGCTAAAAAGCTGAAAATCTACTTGATTCACTATGTGACCAGAGTAAAAGGGAGAAGCACATGGTCATTTCAAAGAATGTGCAAAACCGAACAAATCAAACTCTACACAAATTATAAACAGAAATGGAATTGTCTCATGTAATAAAGAGTGCATACAAGAACCTGCCTCTAACACCAAACAACATGATGAAAAAGAGGCACAGAGGACCCTCTTCTACTCAAAACTGTACCAGTGATACTAGCCACACAAGGCAATAAAGTAACAAATAGAGCATGTAAATTAGAAAAAAAGTTGGTCTTTATTCAGAGACTATATGATCATATATGAAGAAAGTCTTAAATAAGAAAACTGCAAATCACTATTAACAAATTAACTTAGGTCATAAACGTATAACGTCAGTCTAGGAAAATCAAGAGCACTTCTAATTCCAGATGCTGTCAGTAAGCAACTGAGAAATGAACTTTTGAAATGCCATTTACAACCATATCAAAATCATAGAGTACTTAGTGATACATTTAATAAAACAGGTATAGGAAAAACGTAACTAAATATTGCTATGAAAAGCTAAATATCAATTATTGCTAAATAAATGGAGAGATGGAGTTTTCATGAATTGGAAGTCTCAATATTGAATTAAAAAAAAGCAATATCTGAAGTACTGTATGTGAGGAGTGGTTCAAATAGTGCTCTGGAGACTGATGGGACCCGCCATCTTGGAGACCTGTCACTTCCTGCTTCTTCTTCTCAGATCTGCAAAGTTCCTGCTGTTCCAGGAGCCCACCCATCTGTAACCTCACCATATCTGACAACTCCACCCACCAATCTCTCACAGCCCCTCCCCCTAATGCCCACCCCCTACCAATTGCCTGCAGCTTCAACGTCCCATCCACCAATCCCTCATGGCTACCCTCCCATCTGCTTCCTCTTCTTCCCTCCCTTCCTCCTCCCCTCCCTGTACATGCTGCCTCTCCCCTTCTCCCCTATTCTCCTTTGTCTTGCCTCTTCCCCTGCTCTGGCAGCCACATCTTCCCACCATATCAGGAGATGTTTCCCTTCCCCCGCCACCCCTGCATTCCCACTCTTGCTCCTACCCTGCTAGAATAGAAGAACCTCTTAAGTACCTTGCTATGACTGGTATTTTGGCTTATGGTGGCAAACCTATCCCAAAAAGAGGACTTAGCTGTGTGAAATTAGCTGTGCATAAAAGCTAACATTATGTGACTAGTAGTAAGTTTACTATTCCTCCCCTTTGTGCTTTGCAGGGGGAAACCTGGAAATGAGGATTGGCACAGGGAGTTGTCCAGAAGTCCTCGTAACTCAGCGGGGGCAGGGTTGGCCTGGAGAGTCTGCAGGGACAAGCCGCTGGGATCTCCCAGGGCCGCATCCCCAGACAGCACAGGCAGAACATCTATGCAAAACTCATCTTTGCAGAAGACTCAAAATGGATGCCACAAGGACCTAGAAAGTAGTTGAGAAGTCATGTGGAGGAAGAAGCTTTGGAGAGTAGGCCTATAAGATTGGATATTATCTTTCCGTTTATTCACAAGCTGCCCATGTACAATGATTTAGCAGCACACTGAAGAGCTGAAATAAGACTTTCCCTCAAGTCCTAGAATGGCCACTAGGTGGCACATGGTTGGAACAGATCAGAATGGCAGTGCCACTAAAGCCATATTCATGGACAGCTACTTGCAACATTCTGCCAGAACTCACATGGGTCAACCACCTAAAACAAAAATACCAACATTCTCCATACCATTAAAAAAAATCAAAATCTTTTTGAATTAGAACTTGCTAGAATACAATAAACAAAGCACTTGGCACACAAAGAATTGGCAAAAAGATCAAATTGTATGGAAACAAAGAACAGGTGCCAGCAGCAAGATGACATGGATGGTATAATTACCTAATTCATTCCTTGTGATATATTATAAAAATTATCTCACAATTAAGGGTGAAGACCTTAACTGTCAGCTGGAAAGACAGAAAGTATCACTAATCAAAGGAATAAAACAAAGAAGAAAAGACATTTTCAAATCGAAATATACAACTACCAAAAAAAAAGCAGAATAACAACAACGAAAGAGCCGAACTTCCCCCAAGGAGGCTCAGTTACAGGATGGAGATGACAAGAGGGAATCGACAAGCTTGAAGACAAACAGAAACTGTCCAATCTGAACAACAGTGGCAACAACAACAGACTGACAACAAATGAAGGGAACTTCCAAACTCTAAGACAGAAGCAAGGACACATTATTTGTGTCACTGGAGACCAAGAAGAGAAAACTACAGGAAAAGATGTCTGGAGAAACCCTGGTAGAGACTGCCTTATTTTTTTTAAGATTTATTTTGTTTTTATTGCAAAGTTGGATATACAGGGAGGAGAGACAGAGAGGAAGATCTTCCATCTGATGGTTCACTCCCCAAGTGGCCACAATGGCTGGAGCTGAGCCAATCTGCAGCCAGGAGCCAGGAATTTCTTCCAGGTCTCCCACATGGGTGCAGGGTTCCAAGGCTTTTGGCTGTCTTTGATGGCTTTCCCGGGCCACAGGCAGGAAGCTGGATGGGAAGCAGGACTGCCAGGATTAGAATTGGCACCCATATGGGATCCTGGCACATACAAGGTGAGGACTTTAGCCACTGGGCTACTGCGCCAGGCCTGAGACTTTGTTAAATCTGGCAAAACCCATAAAAGTAAAGATTCTGAAAACTCAGAGAATCCCGAACAGGACAAACTCACACATTATAACAAAGTTGTTGGACGATAAAAACAGAGGTAAATTTACAAAAGCATATCAGAAAAATAATATGTTACTTATAGGAGAACAATGGTCAAGTGCCTTGCAAATTTCTCCTTTGAAGTCATGAAGACCAGAATGAAGTGGAACTATTTTAGCACAATGGAGAAAGATCTCTTAACACTGAGTAAGAAGACAAATAATTTCATTTTAATCCCAAAGGGGAGAGATCCGAATAAATAGTTCTTAAAAAGTAAAATGTCCAAAACCCACATGAAAGCTCAACATGAAAAGATGCTGCTGACACCGACGAAGGCCACAGTTGAAGCCTGCTGCACACCCTTGGAAACACAGGCTGACGACACCCAGGCTTTTGTTTTCACTTGTTATGAAGAAAGTTACTGCGAAGGTTTTATTTCAAGGGATATATGGTGCAATCCAATTATCCAATTACACTTTTGAAAAAGAAATAGTCTCCTGAACCATTCTCTTGCTAAAAGGAGAAGAGCAAACATTCAGGGTTCTGTCTCTTTAGATTTTAAAATGAGAGTCAGCATTTAGAGCCCTTAACAGAGATACTCAATGCAAGAGTGCTTTTCAGTCTCTCGTGTCTTTGCAAATATTCAGATTTTTTTTAAAGGAATGCAGTGTTATGTTAAGCCTTAGTGTATTCCTGTATATGTTTAGAAAAAAACTTAAGGAAAAATTCTTCACTATGGGACATTTTCTTTTCCCCTTTCTGGTTACTGGATGAAAAGGCAAAATTTGGCAATAGCATAAATATTACAATTGAGTCCCTGACAAGCATGAGCATGCTGGCCACCACGATGAGTAGATATCACTCATTCACTCTAGATCAGTAATTCTCAGTGCAGAGAGATTTGTCTCAACTGGCAGACATTTTGTCAAATGTCTGAAGGCATCTTCGTAGTGGGAACCCAGAATTTGCTTCTAACATGTAATGTGTAGAGATTGGGGATGTGCTGTTAGACACAGCACTCAACGACAAAGACCCTCTGTTACCACAAATGTAAAATAGTGCCAAAGTTGAGGAAGCATATCCTACAATTACAGGCTTCCATATAATTAAAACCAAGCAGAAGATGGCTTCATATTCCCATCTCCTCTGCCCCCAAATCTAAAATTAGAAAGGAGCAGCATAAGATGCTATTGCCACAGTTCTTATGCAAGGCACAATTTGGGAAGAAATAGGATGGGAAAAAAAATTAAGGAATTTAAAATTAGAAAGGAATAGACTATGATGATATCATCACAGTTCATATGTAAGACACCATTTGGAAGGAAACAGTATGTAGAAAATAAATAAGGAATTTCAAAAAGCGAAGTTTCTGGAAGGAAAACACATCTTAGGTATTTTCATCTTGACTCCAGTCAATACTGTCATCTGTGTGGAGTCGTAACTGCCTAAGTAGATGTGTAAATGATACACAGTCTATACCATCAGTATGGGGAAAGTTTCCCAAGAGCTAAATGAGTTGTGGATATGAGGCTGCCAGTGGCTTTCATAAGTATCTTAACTCTAGTGGACATTTAAAATAGGGCTAGAATGTTGAAACATGATATATGTCCACAAGAGCTGAGCAGGCCTGGTCAACATAGAGGACATTTTAACATATGTCCTCCAGTGAAACGGTTTTAATATCAAAGCAACATTTTAGAAGACCCACATTCACTGGGCCAGGAGATGGACATTACAAAATGAGGAAAGATACCCAAAGAAGATTATTTTGTATTGTCTCTGTAACTAAATTTGCAATGCAACATAATCCTTATGAAACTAAATAGTTGGGTATCCACTTCCAAAAATGCAAAAACACGACTGTTCAATCCATGTATTTTAAGAGTATATTGGAAGGCCAAGTTGGTTGAAAAGAGCTCTCCTTAGGGACTATTCCTTATCTGGTTGGGTCTAAGGTAAAATCATTGGTGGAAACTGCTGGGTTTCATGGTGTAGCTTTCTTGAACAGTTGAAGACTACAGTACATTTCTCAACAGAGACTTCCAGACAAAATTCCCACAGGCAAATACTAACCACCAATCCGTGATAAAAATCTCTTCCTTTGCCTCTTCCATTGCATTTGCCACATCTTCGAAATATCCTTTGGCATTAACATACCTAAAAGATGCAAATGTAAGAACTTAGGAAAACAAAAAAACAGCCCAGAATTTTCAAATCATCCTCAGTTTAATTTCTTTCAGATTTATTTATTTATTTTTACTGAAAAGGCAGATTTACGGAAGGAGAGCCAGAGATCCTCCATTCCTCCATCCACTGGTTTACTCCCCAAATGGCTACAATGGCCAAAGCTGAGCTGATCTGAAGCCAGGAGCCAGGAGCTTCTTCAGGGTCTCTCCGATGGATGCAGGATATTAAGGCTTTGGGCCACCCTCCTCTGCTTTCCTAGGCTATAAGCAGGAAGCTCTATGGGAAGTCGGGCAGCTGGGACTAGAACTGGTACTCATACAGGATGCTATCATTATAGGCAGGAAAATAACCTATTGAGTCACCATGCTGTCCCCTCTCAGTTTACCTTGTTTAGCCAGAAAACTAGTACTGAGATCACTGTACTAGTCTATTTTATTCTGTTGTAACAAAGCACTTGAGGCAGGTAAACTTTACAAAAAGAAGAGGTTTTTTCCAGTTCATAATTTATGAGGCTGAACATTCACATGGCAGAGCACCAGCCTCTGGCAAAAGCCAGTGGTGGGAGCCTAAATGAGGAAGGAGATCAGATCTCAATCCTGGGGGTGGACAGGCACGGGCTTTTCCAAATCTCCTCTCAAAAACTAACGTGGGTCCCATGTGAAATCCGGTAATTCCTTTCAAGGGAACCCTTCAATTGACCTGATGACCTCCTCAAACCTCAGTTTCTTGGCATTCCATTGCACCTCAAATATTACCATCCTGAGAACAAGCTCCTGGAACAGGAACTTTCAAAAGACAAGTCCAGGGCATAACGGTTTCTTTTAATTTGTTACTTACGAGGGAGCAGTTGGTGGACAGAAAAAAACAACAACCTGATTCCTCTCTGTTCAGAGACAACTGACTTACCCTACCATCCTATGAAGCTAGATAAATTCTCCTATTCTACTTAATCCACAAACGGTTTTGCTCCTCAGACTGAAAAAAGACCCAAATTTCCAATCCATGCGTAGAAAACACGCCATGGATGATTTTATTTTTTAAAAAAAAACCTAGAAAATAAATGCTTTCCCTCAATTATGCCTAATGCCTTAAACATTTGATTTATACCATTAATAAAGCATATGAAGCTAGCTTATGATCCAGGACCAGCATTGTGGCACAGAGGGCCAAGCAGCTACTTGTGACAGCAGCAATGTCAATCAAATTGTGGACTGGTGTCCTGGCTGATCCACTGCCAATCAAGCTTCCTGCTAATGCACCTATGAAAGCAACGGAAGATGGCGCAAGTGGGCGTTTCTCTGCCTCACTTGTGGGACACTAGGATTGAGTTTCTGGCTCTTGCTTTGGCCTGGTCCAGATCTATCATGACCATCCAAAAAGGGAATGGACAGATATAATAGCTCTCTGTCTCTCCTCCTTTCTCTCTGTAACTCTGCCTTTCAATCAAATAAGTAAACATATATTTTTAAAAAAGAAAATTTAGCTACATTGAGTTAGCAAACAACTACTTTAGAAAAAGAGGTCCTTCTTAAGTATCATGTGCAACGTATTTCTGCAGTTCTAAAAACTGATTCCAGATGAACTAGAGCTACCATTCTGCTAGAGGCTATGATTATCTCACCAGGCTTATAGCAAAACTATCTTACCATTTAGTTAATGTGTTATCTTGGATAGCAGCATAAGAACCAAATCGATGATCTTTGAGATAGTTGGTGCCATGTTTCTGGATGAACTCTTCTATTGCCCCTCCCCACCACCGAGCATGTCTGTAGCTGTTGCATTTCAAAATAAGGGTCCTTTAAAATACAGATGTGGAAAAGAAGAGTCATTCTGCATTTATCTGTTCAAACAAGGCATAAAATACAACATTCCCTAATTTGTTTGGTCCTGTAGCAGACATAAATTGAAAAGTTTAACCAAGAAAAGAAAAAAATCAAGGCCTTTGAACATTTTTGGTAGGATTTATAAAATAATCAGCAGATGAAAGAAAATATTCAGGTTGCTTCTTTATTTACTCACTCATGCAAACACACATATGCATATTACTATAGAACTGGAGCTTTGCTGAACAAGGCGGTGAAAGAAGTTCAAGGTGAGTTCCCACACGGAAGTGGTGGTTCTTCTGTGGGCTCCACCTGAGAACCCTGGTTTTGCGCAGCCCACGGTCTATTCCCTGGCTGTCCAGGAACAGTACCTTGGCTATGTTTTAGTAAAGTCATCCTCTCTTTTCCGTTCCCTTCCACCAAAGCTAAGCAAAATGGCACACTCCATCCTCTGGTCCCAGAGAGTGGGATCGTGCATGTACAAGCCTTTCTACCCAATGCATGAGAGCAAATCTGAACCCTGCTCAGGAAGCCCTGGAGAGACCTTCCATTCCATTCCATTGGTGCGAGGATGGGAGGCAGCCTTCCAGCTACCGTAGTGTACCAGTCTTGGGGCAAAGCAGATCACAGACAACAGGGCCGAGGAAAGCAGGTGAGCACTGCCTGAGCAGCAGCATGCGCCTCACAATCATTGGGCCCAGGGTGGCTACAGAATGCTCCGGTTTAAAGCAGTTGCATTGAATTTCTGTGTCCCATAGGGCTGCAGAGAGGTCTATACATGCTGAAAACCAAATGGAGAAAAGTTACAGATGTTGCTGCTGCTAAGTATCACAACTGGTGACAACCACCAAGAGTTGAAAAATAAGATACTCATATTTGAAGATCAAAAGAAAGTAAGGTATTGGAGCCAAGTGACTTCACTCAGTACAATCACATTGATATATAAGAAGATCAGGAACGAGACAGGAGAGTGTGCCTTGGGAAGAAATGCAGCCTTCCTTCTAGAACAGTAAAGAGGCTATGTTCAGAGATTCTCAAATAATTACTTTTAAAGATTAGGGCATATCCTAACCACTCCTATGAGAAAGTCACATGGTGACACATTATTGCCCGACAGTAACTGAACCTTCAGAGCATCTGATGCTGCTGGGGTTGGAGATGAGGGGGGTGACAAAGATTCGGGAGACTGAGATCCCTTCCCAGGAAGTGGTGGGCTTCAGCCATCACACTTAAGGTAGGACAAACAAATGCCTTGTCAGAGAATCTGAATCAGCATTGAGGAGCGAAGGGAAGAACTGCAAACATGAGGACAAGAAGAACAGATGTGAAAAAGCCAAGAAAAAACCTAGTGAGGGGCCCGTCACAATAGCGTAAAGGTTAAAGTCCTCACCTTGCACGCACAGGGATCCCATATGGGTGCCAGTTCTAATCCCGGCAGTCCAGCTTCCCATCCAGCTCCCAGCTTGTGGCCTGGGAAAGCAGTTGAGGACAGCCCAAAGCTTTGGGACCCTGCACCCACGTGGGAGACCTGGAAGAGCTCCTGGCTCCTGGCTTCGGACTGGCTCAGCTCCAGCCATTGCGGCTGCTTGGGGAGTGAACCATTGGATGGAAGATCTTCCTCTCTGTCTCTCCTTCTCTGTATATCTGCCTTTCCAATAAAAATAAATAAATCTTTAAAAAAGAAAAACCTAGTGAGAAGAGCTGAGAGTGACAGCTGCCTCCCTGAACCAAAACGGCTGTGCCAGGGAGGCAGGGCTGGAAGGCCTTCTGCTACAAATGGAGGGCAAGAGAGTCTTCAACAAAACAGCAAGGGGCTCTTCTCCAGGAGGCAGCTGATGGAACTGCACCTTGACCATGGTGCCCAAGTGAGGGTGAAAGTGGGAAGAAGGCAGCTAATAACGTGACCACACAGGGACCAATGGACACCAAGGCCTAACTTCCTTGGACAACTGAGAAATAGGAATACAGCACTTGGAAGCAGGTTTAATGGGAGACCTACTACATTTCCGATAACAATTCTGCATATTGCATTCTCAGAGAATAACAGGAATTCAGTCCTATCACAGATCCATTAAAAAGGCTTGAATGCCTATGTCTTTTACAAAGACCCAAGGTGCAATACTGAGCACATGTACACACACACACTCACACACACACTCCCTGTGGGTATTAACAGAGGTATATATGTCAGCATGTATAAGTATATAGAGAAATATATTCATACATGTATAAGGATAAACTATTCAGAGTGTGTGTGGGTATGCGTATATGAAAAGGGGGAGAGAGAGAGACATCAGACACAAGGGCATTACAAAAATTTCATAAGAAATGGAATTAAAAAGATGTCTCCTTTTAGTGTAAAATTTTTGAAATCCAAGCATAGAGGAGGTCTTTAAAACATCCATTGAAATGTATATTATGAAAAACAATGCTTGACTTCAAAAATTCTTTCTGTACCAAAGTAAACTTCTCCTTGAATTCAATTTTTTCACATGTTTTTTGAAATACCCTCATATACAAAATCATATGTATATGCTATAATCATCACCTTCTAAGATGAAACATATACAAGGGTATCCACACACATATACCCACTGATAAACTATACAATAAAAGACACAAATATCTTCCCAAGACATCTTTGTAAGATAAAGAGGTAACCAAATTTTGCAAATCAAATAATTCCTCAGGTATTTTGTTAATTAAGACATTGAGTTATAAAGATTTTTTTTCTCTTTCTACCACACATAGGATGTTCTGTTTCTAAAAATACACAGAAGGAGGAAGTAGTCATTATAATTCAGCATGATTTGTAAGTAAAAACTCCATAACATCTAAATTACTTTACCCCTTTCACTTAAGACTGAGAGAAAAACTATTTTTGAGACATCATGAAAAAAATGCTTTTTAAATATGTTTTGGTTCTACCTTGAAAGATTATCAATCCGGAGTCCATATTTTGTTTCGGTCTCTTTTCTGCCCACCTTAATTCTGAATTCTTTATCAACCAGCAGCACAAACGCAATCGCCCCACTGTCGGGTTTCATATACATTAAGAAGGAATCTTTCACGATTAACCACCTGTTAGGAGAAAGTAAGGATTTTTAGGGTTGTAGTGGGTTACAAGATTATAAAGGAGAAATGATGCTATTAAACCTTCAGTCAACTTTAGTGGACTACAGACATAATTTCATTTTTTTTTTCAAGGAGGTTTTATTTTTAAAACATCATTATCAAACAAAACACTCTGTTCTGTCTCTTCTAACTACTGGTATCATGCAATTCAAGACGCTAACAACAAAATGTGGAACGATGTCCTTGATTTTGGCAGGCAGTACTTTCAGTGTGTTCAGGCAGCCCCATCTATTAGAAGAACACAATGAATGATGTTTGCTAGAATAAACTAGCATAAATGGGGGAAATGAACCCTCCAGTAAGTATAACCACCCTTTAAAACAGCCACTAGGCATCCCTAACTCTCCCTATTCTGGGGTTCATTTCAAACTATGAGGTTTAAAAGCACTTCAGCATGTGATCCTCAAGGGGACAGGAACAGTTCTCAACGTAGTTCCATTCAGCTAAATATAAATGTCACAGGCTCATAATGACAGAGGCATAGTGATAACCTGAACATTAGAACAGATGGAAACAGAACAAAGATAACTCAGATGCAGATGTTCTCAAAGGACTGAATAAGGCTGGTAGGCTACAGATGAGGATCCAGGCCAGATAAGACAGGTGGTACTACAGACAAAAGACAAAGGCAGTGGAGCAGGAAGACCGGATCCTGAACACTAACAAAAAGCCAAAGCATTTTCCTGAGAAAGGGCTGTTTGACTAATACCAGAAAGAGTCCCCAGCTTGGGGAGGACTAAGATGTACATCCCACAACCCAGGAGGACTGAGTTAAAGTACTCGGGTGTGAAAGCACTGCATGTGCTGGAATAACTGGTGGGGCCGCAGTGCTGGGGAAGGGAAAGAGCTGCAGGAGTGGGGAAAACAGACAAGAGCCAGACGGCAGGATCTAAAAGCCATGCCACAAAGACAAGTTTGATATCATAAAGTCAAGCATATATCATCTTAAGTGTACCTGATAATCAGAATTTCTTGGGATATTAGTGGAAAACAGATTACTAGGCCATTAAAAAAGGCTTGAGAATCTTTGATGTTTAAAAACAACAACAAGGGCCTGGCGTGGGAGCCTAGCGGCTGAAGACCTTGCCTTGAACACACTGGAATCCCATATGGGCGCCAGTTCTAATTCTGGCGGCCCCACTTCCCATCCAGCTCCCTGCTTGTGGCCTGGGAAAGTAGTCAAAGATGGCCCAAAGTCTTGGGATCCTGCACTCGCGTGGGCGACCCGGAAGAAGTTCCTGGCTCCTGACTTTGGATCAGGACAGCACCAACCTTTGAGGCCACTTGGGGAGTGAACCATCAGACAGAAGAGTTTCCTCTTTGTCTTTCCTCCTCTCTGTATATCTGACTTTTCAAAAGAAATAAAATAAATCTTTAAAAAAATGGTGCTCATTGAATAAGGTAATCTCATATTCTGGCAAGGTAAAAAGACAGTAATAGGAAGGAACATCAAAGCTGTTTGTGGAAAATGAAATTAAAAGATGTTTAATTTGGTACAAAAGAAGTTGAAATCCATGCATTCAAGGTTTCATCAAAAAGCTCATGAGTAACATGCATTACAGAAAACATGACTCATGAATTTCAAAAGATTGACACCAAAATGAATTTACCCTTTAATTCCATTTTTCCAAGAATTTTTTTGAAGTATCTTCTTATCATTGGACCTACATTTCAGAGAGACAGGGACAGCATGCATAACATGGCAGGTCAGCAAGGGACTGCAACAAGGCAGAAGCTCTTCCTGTACTTTTTTTTTTTTTTTAAGATTTATGTACTTATTTTCATTGGAAAGTCAGATATACAGAGAGGAGGAGACACAGAGAGAGGAAGATCTGCCATCTGCTGGTTCACTCCCCAAGTGGCTGTAATGGCCACAGCTGAATCGATCTGAAGCCAGGAGCCAGGAGCCTCCTCTGGTGTCCCAGGTGGGTGCGGGGTCCCAAGGTTTTGGGCCGTCCTCGACTGCTTTCCCAGGCCACACGCAGGGAGTTGGATGGAAAGCGGGTCCATTGGGATTAGAACAAGCACCCAAGTGGGATCTTGGCGCATGCAAGGTGAAGATGTTAGCCATTAGGCTACCATGTTGGACCCTGTACTCCATTTTTTTAAAAAATGGACTGATTCTATTCATAGAGTAGTAGAGAGAAAGAGAATTCTTAACTACTGGTACACTGTTCTAATGCCTGCGGTTGCTAGGGCAGGACCACTCTGAAGCCAGAGCTTGGAACTCAGTTCAGGTTTCCCATACAGAAGGTAACCATTTTCCTGAGCCATCACCTGTTGCTGGAGGTGGGAGCCAAGCCAGGCCTCAAACTTAGGTGCTCTGATATGGTATGGGCTGCACATATCCCAACCAGCAGCGTCACTGCTAAGCCAGATGCTGGCCTGTGCTCTGATCCTGACATAACACAGATTTTCAGGCAACACAGCTGGGCACTGAGATTCCGCATTTCCCGAGTTTATAGGTGATGGCTATTCTAGGACCACCGCGTGACAAGTACAGGCCATGACACTCGCAACAGGAAGAGAAAGAAACAGGGCTTTTCATGTGGCGCAGTATCAGGCACAAGGTACTTCAATAATTTAATGAAAAAAGAATAAAGGGAAAGTTCTTTTTGATGCAAAATAGGGCTGAGATTCATGCATACACATAGTCTTTTAAAAAGTCTGCAAAAATGTGCACTATTAAATATCTATGCACAGATTTTTGTATCAAAAGATGAGTTTTTAAAATTCTGTTTCCCATACACCTATTGAAGAACCCTCATATTCATATTTATCTGTAATTGTATAGTGATCAAATGATAGCAACTGCTTTAAGTAGTAAAGGGTATGATAGCATACATCAGGCTAAATAAAGTGTTTGGGATGATTGGACATGATGGAACGGTTAAGGGCAGAACACCTGAACATACATTAGTAGTATGGTGGCTTGGGAACTTAGTATTTAAACAAATTGATGAGACATCTTTACTGAAATTGCTAATCACGTTATGCTTTAGAGACTTGATAATTTGGGATTCAATGTACTCAAATATATTGATTTCTACATGGGTGGCTTTTCACTCATCTATTTTTAAATACAGAATGAGGTGGGATAGATTCAAAGCATTTTATAATAAAAGGCATGTCGGATGGTTGATAAAAGGAGAGACATCAAGGTCACAGAAAGTGAAGACCTAAATCTGAAGGCCATGTAAAGAGAGAGATGGCATGCCAAATGAGTCTGAGTTCCCTGGTGTAATCTTATTGAAGGAATAAATGAAAGAAAGAAACCAAATCCAAGGGTATTTTATCATTTGGAACCTAACAGCAATGCTACTGAACACTATAGTGGAATAAATTTTCAAAAACAGTACTTGGCAGATGCATCATGACACATTTTATAAGAATTCCTTTAACATGCAACATAGCCAGGATATTATAGGGTAACTCGGTAATTCTCAAAGGGCTGAGTTCTGAGTTCAGAGATAAAAATATCCATGGCGAAGATGTGGTTAAAAGCAGACAGCATGGCAACGAATGGCTGTCTGGCACAGGTGTGTTATGTGGTTGACCAGGAAGGAGTCACAGGCTTTGATAACTCTAGCTGACAGGGGTGACAACCTGAGAAGAAAGTCGAATCATCCAGATGGGTGAGTTTGCCTCTGTGGATGGCAATGAAGCATGAACAGCACCCAAGCCAGTTCTCACTACAGCTCCACACCGGAGGCAACAGTGTGTGCTGACAATAAATAGCCCATATTCTGGCACAACGAACTCACACCATCAACCTGAGAATTTGAAAAACGCTCTTTAGAGCACACAGGCTCATGGTATAACATCCAGGAATAAGGGCTGCAAAATAGGCCCTCAAGAAATAGGCCACCAGGACGTAGTGCAGGTGTGCCATGCGCATGGTGCCTGCTACACACGCTCAGCGGCAGGCAAGGCTTCCTTTCCCCAATCTGCACAGAAGCAGTGTCATCAATCGTTTTGCTCAACAGAAATGAGAGAGACGGCAGCTGGTAAATGAGATGGTGCATAGAGCTGCTGTCTGGGATGCTGGTATTCCATGATGGAAGCAATTCACGTACTAGCTGTTCCACTGCCAATCCAATACACAGCCATCTCCTCCCCCTCTTCCTTCCTTTTCTAGGTCAAAGCTCAAGCACTTGGGTTCCTGCCATCCGCATGTGAGACCTAAATGAAGCTCCCAGCCTCTCTCTGGTCCAGTGTTGGCCCTTGCAGCCATCTTGGGAGTAAATCAGTGAATCAAAGATCACTCCCTCCCTCTCTCCCTCTATCTCTGTAACTCTGGCTTTCAAATAAAGAGATAAATCTTTTAACAACAAAAATAAGAGATAGAGAGAGGTGAGGGAAAGAGGAAGGAATAAGAAAGAAAGGAGATGGCTGTGTATTTTGGCAGCCAGGGCACTGGCAATTCCAAGGAGTGGCATTCACCTTGCAGGCTCCATGCAAGTTTCCTCTTCTCTGCCCTGCCACATGAGGACACCTGAAAGTACTCACTTCTTCCCCACTGGCTGCTGCGTGAACACAGAAGGTCAAGGCTTCTCTCCGTACATACAGTCTCTTTGTACAATGCAATAGCCATTGAATACCAAAGCAATCTGGCTTAGAGCCCTCCAGTCAAGCCCCTGGATTCCGATTCCAGCTCTGCCTGCCCACTCTAGCCTCATCTCTCTACGTGTGCTCTGATTCCAAGCTGGTTACACTCCGGGTTTCTGTATCTGCTGCTCCTCTGCCCATCAATTCTTGCAGGTCCTCTCATGGCCAATCTGTCTTATTCCTGAAACCTCTGCTCGTGGATGCCTCTCCCAGGAAGTTAGCCCAGTGAAAACTGCTGTCCTCCGGCCCCAACTCCTTCTCCATGCCTTCAGGCTGCTGGTTTAGCTTCTTTGTAACGCATTTGGAAGCACTGACTGGTCTGTTCTCTGTCCCCTGCACTAGGGGGTGGTATTTGTGAGGTGGTGCGAATGGGTCCCGGGGAGTAGAGGGAAAACATGTAGGTACTGTCACTATTTAAAAATTTTACTTGACTGGAAGAGCTCATAGCACAGTAAAGACAACATTTATTTCTCAACAACTATACACCCTCTTCTTTTAAGATACTGAGAAGAAAAACACAAATCTATCCCACTAACAGGTACAGAGACTTTCCAATAAATGCCTTGCTTATGTAGATGTTTAACATCATGAGAAGAAACATGTGTGGCCTTTGTTTTTCCTTTTTTTTTTTTTCACCTTTCCCTTAGTTAAGGAAGAATCCTGCTGCTGGCCTTTCCTCAGTTTACTGAAAAAGAACAAGTAGGTGATGAGAATTTTTTTTCAACAGGTGCAAACAGCCTGGGATGAGGGGTAAGTGCTTAGCCTAGTAGTTCAGATGCTGCATGCCATGTCCAGTCCCTGCATTGATCCCATGCCCTGGCTCCAGGCTCCAGCTTCCTGCTAGGGAAGATGCTGAGAGGCAGGGATGATGGCAGAGAGAAAAAATCCTGTCATCCCCTGTGTGAAACAAGATTATATTCCTGAGCCCAGCACAATGGCTTAGTGGCTACATTCTCAACTTGCAAGGGCTGGCATCCCATATGGAAGTCGGATCGTGTCCCAGCTGCTCTGCTTCCCATCCAGCTCCCTGCCTGTGGCCTGGAAAAGCAGTCGAGGATGGCCCAAAGCCTTGGGACCCTGCATCAGCATGGGAGACCTGGAAGAAGCTCCTGGCTCCTTGCTTCGGACAGACTCAGCTCCAGCTGTTGTGGTCACTTGGGGAGTGAACCAGTGGATAAAAGATCTTTCTCTATCTCTTCTCTCTGTAAATCTGCCTTTCCAATAAAATAAATAAATCTTTTAAAATAAAAAATATTCTATTCATACTCATCACCAGTTCCTGGGGGAGAGGAGGGTTTGGGGGGAGCACACCAACTGTGACAATGTGTGTTACTTTCTTTCCATCCCTCCCTGATCATATCCTTCACTTCTCAAATGAAATTTCAAAATGAGTAGCACCTGTAGAAGTAACTCCCGTTTAGACACCAATGTCTTCCGTAAGAAACTTTCTAAACTAATTTTGCCAGGCACACTTTATCTTCTATATATGATTTTTGATATTTTAAATCCCACAGATAGGAGTCAGAAAATACTTATTAATATGGAATCCCAGCTTTACTCTGCACAGGAAGATTTTCCCAATTTAGGAAGGTGCCACATTTCATTTCAGGTAGGATCCTATCTCTCCAGGCTATCTTGCTTGAAGCACGATGTGACAGAGGCTAAAAAGAGTGAGCAGGTTTCTCTATGCAAGCTCTGCCCATTTGCACTGGTCTCTTGCTGCTTTTAGAGACTAACCCAAAAGTCACTTCTTCAGGAAGCCTTTCCTTGACTTCTGGGGCTAAAGCCTCCCCTCTCTGCCTGTCCCCAAACCCACAGGACCCCAGAACCCCTTTCCTCAACTTCAATGGCCTTATAATGGCCTTCACTGATATAACTTAAGCACCTGCCAGCTAACTTACTGCCAGCATTGTTGCAAAGATTCTGAGGGATTTTGTCTTCTTTACTGCTATCCCAGTGGCTGGAGCACAACCCTGAGTGCATGCCTAAAGTTGGGTTGCCCCAAATGTAAACTCTGAGATAAAGACCCTCCTTAGGGAGGTGGTATTGGGAGGCACCAGCCAGGAGGGGCACCACGGAAGAAAGTCAGAGAGGATGCACTGTTACGCCCTTCGGGATGGGCAGCTGGGCTGTGAGTCTGTCAGGAGCACAGGAGGAATCATCCCAACTCAGATGGGAGAGAGTTGGACCCATGACAGCTCTCCGGTGCCCCTGGGGTGTGTGACACTTCCAAGCTGCCTGGCACACAGGCTCTCCATAGAGTCCTGGGTACTGTGAGGAACTCTGTAACACTCACCCATGTCCTTCTGCTTGGCATTTGGCCTCAGTATCCTGCGGCTTCTGTACAATCTGGGGTGACAAGATATTGCTAATGGAGTTTCTTTGTCTGCCGTCATACAATGTACTCTTAATACGAGTAAGAGAGGTTATGTGAAAGTGATTGTTTTTTCCTAGTATATTGTTGTTTTTTCATCTCAGTAAGTTCTAACCAAAAGTTTCCATCTCTTTGGTTTTTTTTTAAAGCTTTTTAAAGTTATTTTTATTTTATTGGAAAGGCAGTAATACAGACAGAGACAGAGAAAAAAGGGGAGGGAGAGGGAGAATGGGATAAATATATATATTATATACGTATATAATATATATAAATATATATATATGAATGATTATCCATCCATTGGTATATTACCCAAACGACCATTATAGCCAAGGCTGGGTATGCCAAACCCAGGAATTAGGAGTTAGGATCCCCATCTGAGTCCCCAAAATGGGTACAAGTTACTAGGACGTGGGCCATTCTCTCCTGCTTTCCCAGGTGCCATCAACAGGGAACTGCGATTTTGTGAAACCCAGCACAGAGTAGTGAACCCAGCACAGTAGTCTAGTGGCTAAAGTTCTCACCTTCCATACACCAGGATACTACATGGATGCTGGTTCTAATCCCGGCTGCTTCATTTCCTTTCCAGCTCCCTTCTTGTGGCCTGGGAAAGCAGTGAAGGACAGCCCAGGACCTTGGGACCCTGCATCCACATGGGAAACCCAAAAGAAGCTCCTGGCTCCTGATCAGCTCAGCTCCAGCCATTGAGGGCACTCAGGGAATGAACCAGCAGGTGAAAGTCCTTTCTCTCTGTCTCTCCACTCTGTAAATCTGCCTTTCCAATAAAATTAAATCTTAAAAAAAGAAGAAGTGGAGCAGCTAGGATTCGAACAAGCGTCCACATGGAATGCCAGCAGTGAAGGCAGCAGCTTTACCCACTACTCCACAATGCTACTCCCTCAATTTCTTTAAGTTTTATCTTCTTCTATCCTTCAAAGTTCAGTGACCAAAAGCCCAACCCAATGGTATTTCTTATCAGCACTGTATTTTAAATAAGTATGCTTAAAATTAGACACTATCAATTTTATTCACTTAAATATTTCATTATTTACATATTACTACATTTCTTTTCACATTGGAAAATCTAGTCCTAAGTAGATATAAAATATTGACATCTGCTTTTTAAAGTGTTGTAATATTTTTTCAATCCCAGCATATTACCATTGGGAAAAGCAGTTATTATTGTGTACGATGAACAAAAGAGAAGCAGCACTTGTCATCAGTGGTTTTGGGCATATTTGAAAAGTAGTACAATATCACCACTATCTAATTCTAGAATGTTTTCTTTCTCCATAAAATCCTATATCTAATAGCAGAATTTAATTAGCAAAAACAACTCTGCAAATCTGTTTACTTCCAAGTCTACAGGTTTGTCTAGCCTAACCTTGGGATCCTGAAAGACGTGGCTTTTGTATCTCCTTTTTTTTTTTTTTAAACTTAGCATGATATCTCATCTATGTGGCATCCTGCATCAGGTTGTCATTCTCCTTTCTATTAAAACTTAAATTTTTGTATCTAATTTCGTACACATAAAAATACAGGATTGTGTGGCTTTTAGCATATTCACAGAGTTCCATCACTACCATCTAATTTCAGAACATTTTCAGCACTCCCAGAAGAAATCTCACCTCATCAGCAGTATGCATCCCTTTTTATATTTAATCATATTCCACTACAAATGTGCTCATCCTCTCAATCAATGGACATTTGAGTTCTTTCTACTTCTTTTGAATATTGCAAACGCTGCTGCTCGGGTAAGCTCAGACATAGACTTTTTCCCCCCACTTACCTCACTGAGTGCCTAGGACTGCGATTGTTGGGGTGTAGCGGCACTGCACATTCAATAATATGAAGAACTGTCAGACTGCTTCCCAAGTGGCTGTGGCATTTCACGTTTCCTTCAGCAATAGCTGAGGGTTCCAACTTGTCTGTGTCCTTACCAACATTTGTTTTTGTCTGTCTTGATTAGCACCACTAAGGGGCTATGAAATGGCACTTCCTTGTGGATCTTGTCTACACCCACCTACTAGCTTACGATGTTGTGTATTTTTTCTCCTCTGCCTACAGGCCATCTGTACATCTTCCTTGGCTGCCCCAATGTCGAACACCACATTCATTGAGTTTTTAAAAATGTTACGTGTATTCTCCACCAATAAGTTCCAGATGTAAATAAATACTGTAACTTGGATTTAAAAATATTGAAATTGGCTCTATCATGGTTTTTAAAGGATTTAGATCTTAAACTTGGCATGCAAAAAAATCACTAAATATCCAGTATACAAAATTTAAAAACAAAAACAAAACAAAACAAAAAAACTCATAGGAAGCTCCTAGGGCCTACCTTTTGGACCAACGGTAGCAGGCCCTTCCATGACCACAGCAGTTCAAACCTGGGATTCTGTGTCCTCCAGATCTTTTCATTATCATACCTTCTCTGAAAGAAATGTTACGTTAACCAATCATCATCAAATTTCCAACTCAAATCTAGCTGTACACCTCACAACTTAGAATAAAGTTGTTCTCACATGATTTTCCTCCTCATTCTTTCCTCCTTCACCCTCAACTAGTTTGGTGTCATTTTGGTCAAGTTGGGTAATACAATAGATAACCTTGAAAAAAACCGGCCATACGTAGTTCTTTGGCATTTGACACAGCACAATCATGCTGCGCCCTGAGCAGTGTTGAGGCTGGCTCTGAATGCCAAGTGCTTCCCCTTGTCATTGGGAAAACCTAAAAAGACCCTGTGCTGAGATAGGTTAGCTATGACAGAGGCCATGACGGGGCTCATCCACAGATTCCAGCTCTGTATGCACCTCTCCCTTGGCTTCTAGCCAGCAGACCATGCCCACAGTGGCAGAATAAAGGATCCATAGCAAGAAATTTCTACTTTCAAGGAATACTAGTTTGGAAAGCAATAGTAACTTTGGAAAAGCAATAACAATGGCTAAACATGACACTTAACTTCCAATAATGTTCTCAAAGAACTGATGTTAAAAAGTACTTCACTTACTGATTTCCATATTGAACCCTCTGACCGTTAGATGCGAGGGAATCTGTGTGCTAAAGGAATGGGAAAGACAGTAAACCATGTGCCACCATGGTCTACTGTCAGATAGCCTGTGTTAGGCAAGGAGATCTCCCCTCATCCCAGTTGTTGTAGTTCTCTTAAGGGGCAGAACTTGCAGGAAAGCCAGGAGGTTCCATCACCATGGCATGCCACTAAATCAAACATGAATACTTATTAACTTCATATTTTCTTTCAAGGGCCAACACTGAAACTTACATGCCCTTTGGTCCCAAGTCATGGATGAACGACAGCTGGCTTATATCAAGAAATTCTGTCTGAAAACAAGCAAAAAGAAATTCATACTTCAAAAAGGAAACATTTTTTTTTTTTACAAATAAAAAGTTTGTACTGAAAATGTACTACGCATAACACTGTCTTTGGTACATTCTAGGTTACATAGTTTAAGAACCATAGTGTTGCAGCAAAGAAGTGTTAATGAGAAGCATGTAAGTAAATAAGACAACCAATAAAGCAATAGGTAGGTACCCAATCATGTAGAAACAAAATGTTCAACGAGGCCATGGAAAGCTGACTCCCAATGCTTTGTGTTGCTTTTGTTTGGGAGGTGGAGCTTTGGCTGTACTAAGTGCACAAAATAAGAAGAGTACATGGTAATTGTGATATTGGGGAATGTTGTGGAAGAAGGACCCAATGTGCCATGTGGAAATGAGACATGAAGGAGCAAATAAGACAGAAGCTGTAAGGAGATATTATGTACAATTGGGTTAAAGTGAGAATGACGAAAAGGTCATGGGAAATAACATGGCAAGGCAGGTTACTGAGACTGGGAGGCAAAATATATTTTTAATGAGTTCAAGGGGAGAGAATTGTAGGCCTGCCTTCACAATATAAGTTACCAAATACCTGCCAACTATAAATACTACAACAACCACAGCTGTGGCTAGCATTTACTGAACGTTTAGTCGGTGCTGGCACAGTTTTGAGAACTTTTCAAGCTGAAACCTTTTAGAGACAGGTGTCACTTTCCCACTGGATAAAAAAAAATGAGATTATAGCATAAGTGAACATTTTATTTGGCTAAAGAATCATGGAATTATATCATAACATTCAAAATTAAAAATAAAAAATTTTAAATTTGACAGCAAGCATTATTACAATATTTTAACTTTTTTCAACCAATAAGAAACCAAAAGCTTATCTTAGCTCATGAGACTACAAAATAAGATGGTCAGCTTAATTTCCTGCATGGGCTCCTGTTCACCAACTTCTGGCTTAGAGAGCTTCAGTTGTCCAAATTCACAATGGACAGATTTAAAATCAAGTTATGCCAAACCAATCTTCTGAAAACTAAGCTACAAAAGCAACCAGTCATCTCACATCAATCCTGCTCCAATTGAAGTCCACTGCATACTCTAGCTAGGGAAGAGGTAACTGCAAATAGGGAGGTACAGCCGTTAAAAAGGAATGAGAAGAATGCAGTGCAACAAGTGCAGTTAGACAAAATATTGTTCATGATGTACAGACTTGTTTTTAAAGCATCCAACAGTGAACCCAGATCTACCAATGGTCTTTAGGTCATGACAATAATAGACTTGATAGGAATGAGAGAGAGAGACAGAGAGAGGGAGGGAGGCATGGAAAGGTGGGGGGAAGGGGAGAAGGAAGATAGATAAAAAGAGAAAGAAACAGGTGCTTCCAGCACCAGGAAGCATGCAGAGGGGATCAGACATGGAAAACACTCCATATCAACAATATGCTTTGGGATGAACCAGACCGGTGACACATGGATATGTTACCATTACAGGAGTATGGGCAACTACAACTTCCTAGCTGATACCACAGCACTAAGAAGGTGATATTTGATCTAGGCTTGTTAATGTAATTTAACAAAATCAGTTTTAAATGTGCTTGGAAATATCTTATTGTTTTTCTAAAAGATAAAAAAGCTGCAAGTATCTCCCAGTAGGTGGCCAAAAGGAAATGTCCAGATGTCCAGATGAAGGAGGATAGGAGCACTGAGTTGGTCAGCTGGGCAGTTGTGCAGTGAGGCGAAGAGGCTCACATCCTCCAGGCAAGGCTGCCCTCTTGGGCAAATCCTTAGCAAGGGCACAGGGGGGCAAAGAAGACATCTATGGAGGAAACTGGGAGGTTGAATGAAGAGCTCAGCACTCCCTCTCCCAGCCCACAAGACTCAATCTAAGGGAGAAAACGTGTCCCTTCACTTGGCACAGCCGCTCAAGTCAGTACCATTCTTCTCTGCCCTTGACCTACTCTTCCCCTCAAGTTAAAGCTACTCATCCTACCTAGTGAGCAAAAGTGAGCTCAGTCTTATTGATCTGTGGGATTTTTTCTTGAAGGCTTCAAGTGAATCACCACCTTTGAGATAAGGACTCTGAGTCACACAAGTTAAATGATTCACTTCCAATTAGGGCTAACATGCTAACTGCTTAGGGCCTTCTCAAGGAAATCATGTATTTTGTTCTACTTCCAGATGTTAATCCTAAGTTTTAAAAGAGCTCTTTGTCCTTTATCTTCCCTTTCAATTCTCTAGAAGATAAGAATTTTCCAGTTACTAATTAAAATCTGTAGCTGGTGGGCTCTATGCTATAGGCAGCACAGATACAACTTCAGAACACAAAAGGAGCTTCTGTTGGATATTTCTTGAATGTGATTTTTACAACTCGGTTGGATTTGTGCCATTTGTAACAGAGCTATGCCTGGAGGAAGCATGAAGTCCATGTACCCCATCTTACAAGTGTGTAAGGACAGCAAAGGAATTAGTCATCGAGAAGGTTTTGTATCTGAGGCTAAATCCACTACAGTACTATGACGCTCTGTTTTTCACAACTCTAAGAGTATAAAAGGTGGGGAAAAAAGGAAGAAAAGGTAGTTGAGTGCCATCTGACTTACTGGCCATGGAAAAGAAAGGGAAAGAAATGTGCATGGCCAGTGTTAAAAGCCATTTAAGATAACGAAATGGCCAGTGCTTGAACATCTACCCCAATGACTTCAGCTAAATCCACTAGCAACACCATGATAATAAACCTACACCACCTTCACATTCTCAGTGATTTATTATTTGAGAAGTACAGAGAAGGAGGGCTGTGCATTTTTCCATGCTGATTCACTCTCCAAGTACCCTCAACTGTGGGTACTGTGCTGGGCCAAAGCCAGGAGTTTGGAAAACAATACGGGTGTCCCACATGAGTGACAGGAAGCCACCTGCAGCACCATTATGAGTCTCCCGGGAGTGAGGAGCAGGAGCTGGCCCTAGGACCTGAAGCCTGGTAGCAAATCCAAACACTCCAACACAAGTGCAGGCATCCTAACTGGCATCTCCATTGCCAGGCCAAAGATCTGCCCCTCTCTCCGCTTCTTAAGATAATAACATTTTCAAGCTGAGCATGGAATTTGACTTCAGTTCTCAAATTAACCTGGTAATAAAAGTCATCTCAAGCACTTGCTGAAGTTTCAGATCTGGATGCTATTATAGTAAAGGTTCTACACCGTCCATTCTCTTGACCTTATCTTACTCGTGATTCTTCCGATTTAAGGGTGTGAATTAACTTAAAGTAGTTTTGCTTTATAATTTCAGAGTGGAATTTTTTATATTATGTATAGGCAAACTTTACTTTCATCAAGTTTTTTTATTTTAATTTTTTCATATTTATCAAAAGAAACACATAGTTGCTAATTTAATTTAGAAATATGACAGGAGGACCTGTAAATCTAATCTTTGGCCAGAACACATTTAGTTTGAGAGCAATAAATTAGAGAACTGACATGCATCACATTGCAGTTTATATTTAAATCATTTTGGAGAATTCTGCTGCTGGGGGAATATCTCAACAGCCATCAGAAATGAGAAGAAAAGCTCAAGTAATGGGGTTCTTGACCTCTACATGGGAGACCTGGTTTGCGTTCCTGACCCAGCTGTTGTGGGTACTAGAGAAGGTCCAGCAGATTGTTGCATTTTCTGTTTGGCTGTCTCTTTGTCCATGTTTCTCTTTCTCCCTACTTTCCAAATAAGTAATTTAAAAAAAAGAGTTCAACCTATTCAGTGGCTGATTACGGCTTTCTCTTCCAACAGAGAAAGGCACACTGGAATTCCTAAGCGCAACGTGGTTTAACTAGGAAAATATTTTTACCACTGGAAAAATACTTAAAATGAACATTTTCAACCTAAGGGGAAGACACTTAGCCTAGTGGCCAAAATGCCACATCTCATCAGAGAACCTGGCTGTGATTCCTGGCTCTGATGCCTTAATAGAGCTTCGTGCCGATGCGGACTCTGGGAAGGAGCAATGATAGCCCCATAGGAAGACAGCTGCCACCCATCTGGAAGACCTGGCTTTGATCGAGCCCGGCTCCAGCCACTGTGGGAATTCAAGGAGTGAACCTGTAAGGGTGAGATCTTCCTCTCTCTCATAAATAAAGTGCAAACATTCTTTAGTCAGAATCAGAATCTAGGGTCCAGCATTGTGGTATAACATGTTAAACACCCCCCAGCAATTCCAGCATCTAACACTGGCCCCAGTTTGAGTCCCAGCTGCTCACTTCAGATCCAGCTCCTTGTTAATGTGCCTAAGAAAACAGAGAAAGACGACCCAACTACCTGGGCCCCTGCACCCATGTGGGAAAGAAGAAGCTGGAAGAAGCTCCTGGTTCCTGGTTTCAGCCTAGTCTAGCCCCAACCATCGTAGCCATTCAGGGAGTAAATCAGCAGAAAGGAGATTCTTTTACTCACTGTTGCTCCCTGTCTCTCCTTCTCTCTATGTAATTACATATCTAATCTTTAAAAATCTATCTAAAATATAGTAAAAACATGGAAAGAGAAGCTTGAATTCAGCACACTCAGCGAAGTACTGAATGCTATGCCACAGGCAGGCAGAAGAATAAATTAAATGGAAGATTATTGAACTCAGACATTCACCCACACCTGAGCAATTCTCTATGACAGAAAAGAGCTAGTCTGATTTTTAGCGATCACAAAGGAGGCAGAATTTCCAGTGCTTGCAGCAGAGTAGCTTAATCATGCTGCTACTGCGAGATACCTGTTCCTGTGACACACAAAGGAAGAACTCCTGCCCATCCTCCTACTCCTGAGCTCCTCTGGTTGAACTCCAATTGCTCACTTACATGCGGAATTGTTTATTCCAGGACTGACGGCCATGCAAGCTCTGTCAGGCCCACTGATCATCACACTGCAAGCTGTTGCAGAAGGTGAGCCATGGTCTGGTCTAGGACAGTTATGTGTGTATAAAGGGCAGCTGCTGGATGCATATTTGGAGCAATCTGCAGATCATCTGCTGCCAGCCTCTGACACTGAGGAGTACAGAAGAGCCAACGGGCTGCCGCTTCCTCTTCTGCACACAGAGGGCTGTGTGTATAAATCTGATGGCATTCTCTAAACCAGTGGCCAACTCACAATCACATCTACTCTTGGGTTCCACGTGTAATCACCTTCACAGCAATGCTGCTGGTGCAGGCACAGCATCAACCTAACGCTTGAATGCATGACATCTCTCTAGAGCTGGAGGGAACTGCAAAGCTGAGCTTTTAAAGACACCCATCATCGGGGTCTCTGGAAGAGCAGAGCTCAGCATGTGCTGACACGGGAACTGTACAGACCACTTCCTCCACCTCACTGGCTAGCTGCCTCCTAACAGCTCTGAGGCTGCTTCGAAACTTCAACAGCTTTTCTCTCCGTTCTCAGATTTCTCAAATTTTCTTTTTCCCTAGCTTTTCCCATGCATCTCACTTTCAGAAGGAAAGAAAAGCCTTTCTTTCATAAGTGTCACAGGCCAATCTGACAACAATCACACTTTGCTTTATATAATCTATGAGTGTTCAACCCCACTCATTCTTTTCTCATTCACTAAATATTGTTTGATGTTAGAACTGCTTTCATGCATTATTCTAGAGGCATGGAGACTAGAACAGCATCTCAAGTCCATTTAAACCTGATCTTTCACTGAATTCCATGCAATACTTTAAAACAGTATCATATCACCATAAACTGAACCTTTCCTGGCAAACCCATTTTCTAGTCATTTAATTTATTATGATTCAAGGAATAATACAGATGTGGATGCAAGGACTTGACTTAATAAAGTAATCCAAAATTTAGCTTAAATTTTGCTATTTTATCAATTAACCCAAAATTTAAATCACTGAATGGTACTTACTGTTGCATGATAATTCTTATACATGGGCATTTTCAGTATCTTTGCCAAGTAATCTTCCAGTTGTTTCTATAAAACAAAGAGGTAAGAATTAACATGGTCATATTTATAGAACAATTTAATCACTCAGTGCTGGTGATGAACTCTTTTGTTTCATCTCCTATCAGTTATTTGATTATTCATGCTATTATTTGAAACATTGAATATCATTAAGAAGTTATTTCCATTTCTCCCTTGAGCAATTACTTAAATTTCTTCTTCTTCCTATTTATGATTCCACTTACTGAGCTCTTGTGTAAACTGCGGACAGTTTCTAAATTACACTTAGACTTCTGTAGCTGCCACAACAGGCTAGCCCACAGCATGCACTTCTAAAGCATTTGTTTATTTTACCAAAATCTTGGTTTTATCTTTCAGATTTTAACACAGAATTTATTGGAAGATGCATTGCAATTTTAAATGGCTTTCCTAGAAACAAAGGGGAAGAGTTAACAAAACTTTCCAGAAGGGTGCACTCTGACTTCCTGTCTGTTAAAATGTATGTAGCAGGGGAGATGACACAGGCTTGAGGAAGTGGAGCAAATCACACTGACCACGAACTAAAAACCCAGCACCTTTTCACTGCTTCACTCAGTGTCAACAGCTGTAATCATTCTTCTAATGCACATCCCAAGAAACCCCAAGCTTTATGTCTAGGCATCATGGAAAATGTATTTAAAAATTATAAACAAGATAACAACTACAAAGAAGAAACCAAGTATTTACCATAGAACATAAAATTTCAGATCACAAAATACAACTTTTGGTCATTTCCTAGTGTCCAAAAAAAAGACCCTGTCTACACAGCAGCACTCCCTGAAATGGAGTTGGCAGAGGGCTCACTTTCCCTTAGCCTCCCATCCTCGAGTCATGCAATCCACACCTGTCACCCTCTTCTCGCTCCCCAGCTGCCCCATCTGTGGATCAGGAATGAGAAATAAGCTACTACAAATTAAGAATCAACTTATGTAGATGTGCATTTTTTTAAGATTTATTTTTATTTGAAGTGTTATAGATAGAAGGGGAGACAGAGAGATCATTCTGCTGGTTCACTATCCAAATGGCTGCTAAGGCCGGAGCTGGGCCATTCCAAACCCAGGAGCCAGGAGCTTCCTCTGGGTCTCCCACATGGGTGCAGGGACCCAAGGACTTGGGTCATCCTCTGCTACTTTTCCCAGGACATATAAGCAGGGAACTGGATGGGAAGCAGAGCAGGAAGTATGCGAACTGGCGCCCCTGTGGGATGGCACTAGTTCCTATGTATGTTGTTTTTAAGGACTAGACCTCAAACCTCACGGTGAGCAGCTCCATGCTGGCCTCCATGTTGGAACCCAGGCAGTTTCCAGCAGAGAACAGAGCCTGTTTCTAAAGTAACTGCTGACAAATACTTTCTCTCTCTCTCTTCTGGGGAACTGCTATCACCTCTCCAGGGCTTGGGCAAGAATCCAGTGCCTAACTAGTGTCAGGGATGCTAAATCAGCATGGGTGATGGAACACCACATGGAGAAATTCAGCCACAGCTTCTCCATCTCTATGTAGACGAGGGACTGTGAGGCCACCTACCCTCCTACCGAAGTACTGCTCTTCTCTCATGTCTTCAGATGTCCGGGGCAAACTGGGCATATTCCGAGGCTCCTCTCCTTTAACGTTCTGTCTTCTAAATGTGTGCCTAAAACGCATAAGGTAAGCATTTCTTAGACTGGACTAGGTGATTAGGACTCATAATATCCTTCATGAGGTAGCTTATTCCCTTCTCAAAAAGTCTGTTCGGTTAAGACCATTTGTCAACAGTGGACGGACTAGCCTGCAAAAGGGCTGAAAGATACTTGACATCCAACCTGCGTACTGGGATGACAAGTCATTCCGACAGGGTTACCTTTTGGTGGGGATGGGAATTCGGATGAAGGCTTTGTACTTGACCAACTCTCTGTGAAACTCTTGGAAGTGCTTGTACTTCCTCTTAACCTGCCATTTAAATTCCCCATGTGTCAATTCGATGGTGTAGAGATTGATACTTGGCACCTAGTGATAGAGAAAAACAGTTGGTGATTTCAGACAGCAAAAAATGTCCTAAACGATCAACAAACAGTTAATAAGTAGCATGGAAGTGTGCTTATATACTTCCATTTTTTTTCAAATATGAAATAATCAAAACTTTTGTCCGATAAGTTACTTAGGAACAAACTTCAAAGTATAAACTCCTACAAATCTTCCTTTCACACACATACACACACAGATGCATAATCACAGAGGCAGACATAGACATAGTTACACACACACACACACACACACACACACACACACAACAAGAATCCAGACAAAGAGACTGAGTGAGGGCCCTGTTTAGTTGTCAGGAAGCCAATTCATAGGTGAAAGCAGTGAACAGGCAACTGGCAAAGGTAAGAGGGAAATGGAAGACAATGGCTGCGAGCAACAGCATCTTGGCCCTTCTGTCTTCTCTCCTCCTTCTGTCACTCTTGCCAAGGCCTAGCCCTGTCTGTACCACCCAGCTGCCCTGAGGCACCACCAGTGTCTGGAAAGGGCAGGCAAAGAAAACTGCTGAAGCAGTGAGCATGCAAGGTGCAGCGCACAATTAAGTATGATAATGGTGCATTGGAATGATTTAATCTTCATAACAAACCTAGAAGGTAAGGACTCTTATGCCCATCATTCAGATGACAAAACTGAGAAACATGGAGGATCACAAAGCAAAATTAAACTAAACCACATGTTAAACTCCTACATGTTTTTGCCTTTCCACACAACAGCTGGCAGGCAAAATAAGAAGGCAGAGGTCATCTATCTTTAAGACACTGCTGAATTGGTGGTAGTTTTGGGGAGACATGCCCCAACTTATAAGAAAGCCTTACACCACAGCAAGGCACGGAGGAAGGTGTATAAATCAGGAAGTCAGCACAGGCATGAAGGAGGGGGTGAGGACAGAGTACTAGCAAAGCCATCAGGAAACCCAAGCTACACTGCCACATTCCAGAAGACAAGCAGGGAGCAGGAGCAGAGCTTATCTCTAACTGAAGGTCAGTAACCTCTGCTTTCCCAGAGGAAGGAGTCACAGTTGGCCTTATCCTGGTATGGCTGGGGTTCAACTGGTAGGACCAAGGTCACCACTTAGCAGTAACTTTCCCCGCCAGGCACAAATGAAGCGAACACAGAGGCCCCCACCAACTGCCCCTAGCCAAACCCATTGCCAAGGGAACAGCTTTGCTCCAAGAATCCATTTCACCACGAGGCCTTTGCAGGACTCAGAGAAGGATAGCAGGCTACACTTTTGAGTCATCACACTGATAATCTGGCATCCTGGTTCTTTCGCTGTATGAGCCACGTAACACTGCTGTTCTCTTGCTCAACAAGCACAAAAATAAAAGCTAAACTTTTCCTCAACTTCCACCTGGCATTTCAGGCGCAATGCTTATTCCCCAAGAATCCAGATGTAACAGAAAACTGGGGACATGGGAGGGCTCAGGAGAGGCAAGTGATAATTTACTAAACTATCAGATTGCTTTAAATGCTTTTCAAAAAAAGTGTCTCCTATGAGGAGGGAAGAATGTGACAATAGAGATTACATGAGAAGCAGTGAGAACTTTGAAAGGGCTAGACAAGGAAAGGAACAGAAATCAAAAAACAGAGCTGTAGCCAGGAGGAAGAAAAAGGCGAGTGGAGGCAGCGGCGGAGAAGCACTGTGAGAACAAAGAGGCGAGGCCACCCAGTGCTCGGACCTTTGAGGTAGAGGTGAAGCGCTCCACTTCCAGGACTTGCGCTTTGACGGCACAGCCAGAGAGATACGTCTGGATGTTAGGCTCCTTAAATCCTTGAGTGTTATAAATCGCAGAGAAAGGGATCATCCCTAAAAAGCAAATTAGCAAGCAAAGTTGTCTCAGTACGTGACAGGAGCATCACTTGCCTCTTACAGACACCCTTTAAGAATCACAGCATATTAAAACATATTAATGACTGATTTTTGTCTCATCTTTTACGAGATCATTTTAGTCCCATGTCATGATATCTCCCAAGGAACGGGAGTCATTTCCTGGTTATTTCAGATTCCTTGCTCTGCCAACCAACCCTGATGAAATGCATCTGTCTTCACCTTCCTGTGCCTTTGGATCGCTGGGAGACAGGTCGCATTCCACCTCCTCTCCCTCGAAGTGGAGCTCCCGCGAGTCGAGGTTTTCTATCAGATTGCTCATGTCGGCAGCGATTTTCTGCAGCGCAGAGGTGTTCACTCGGGGCTGATTTTTCAGTGACATGTTATCAGCAAACAGAGTAAAAGCAGAGGGGCTGAAAAAGAAGAAAAGAATTCCAAAACCTTATTCTTCTGATCAAAGCAAAGCCAATCACACAACCTGAATCCAGGCTGGTGTGCAGCAAACGGAAACCCCCCAGCCTGCTTTCGCCTGAGCCCTGGTTATCTATCCCAAGCCACCTTTTCCTTGACCTTCCCCTTTAACATCGAATGGATCCCAAGCTTGTGAATTAAGATGGAATGAAACAGTCATGAATAAGGGAAAAAAGAAACACCACCTGGAATGCATGCCCATGTTTCTTTCATCCAATGTTATGAACTTCGACAAGTGAGGACAGAGTGCTTATTCAAAGAAAGGAAACAAAACCATAGCTGTAATAAATACATGGAAAGAAAGACTACCACATACAATTAAAAAAAAAGAACTTTAAATACTCCCTAAAGAAAATTGAGGCTATTTCATAAACATGAAGATATAAAAACAGTCTTATAATGGTAGCCTTTTCTGCATTTTTCCTGGAGTTGATGCTTTAAGCTGAGTATTTGAAGCCTTTCTGAGATAAGAGGTTTCATCCATGAATTGACATGATGACATGCGTGGCTTGAAATGAAACTGATTAATATACCTGCTCCAGAAGATAGCCAAGATGCTAGACTTAAACAACTCTGCCTCTCTTTTTTTTTTTCCCCCAGAAAACTGGTTCTATTTCATTCCGACAGTTAATAACACAAGTCGTTGCACATCAATACCCAGGGAAGAAGAATTCCTATGGATTTTATTTTTCATTCAAAGTACTGAGATTTAAGCCTTGAGCACTGACATTGGAGCTCGATGAAAAGTCTGAACTGCCAAATGGAAAAATCATCTCTTAAGTTACAACTGGCCCTAAAAGGGAAGGGTTCTCATACCAATCAGTAACTTCTGTGCTTGTTAATTTATTACTGCACATTATAAACATTAACTAAGCACAGATCATGCGTGAGGCACAATGAGTGGGAATGTAAAGATGAGGTGGGCTGGACTCTGATTAATAGCACCTGACACTGATTGAAACAAGCGCTATGTTTCAGTTCTATCCTTGGCCTCTTGGGAGGACGTGGAACCTAGGAAGGGAATGGGATGGAATGAAAGGAAGACACTTGGCTGAGTGCATTCCTTTAGCTGCTATCAAAAGACTAGCGTGGCTATGTGGGAAGCACTAGGGTGAAGCCTCAGGGCCATTTGGGCAGTCCTCACCATAACTCAGCAAGTGCCTAAAAACCAGACTGCTGGCAGCAGGCAGCAGGCAGCCAGTTTTAAAGTCAGAAACAAAGGGTGGTGGGGTAAAGGAAGGTGATTTAGCTTATACCACCCACCCACACACACACACACACACACACACACACACACACACACACACACATCTAAAATCCATCTAAGTTCCTTATGAGTTATGTTATCAATCATGTTTATTTCTGCATTCTGGGTAGAAGAAAGCCTGAAGCTAAATTGTGGCCTACTGTTAACGAAATACAGGCCTATCTTTAGTTGTACATTATTGCATTAGGAATCTAAAGAACAAAAGATATCAGAAGTTTATTATTTCTGCTTTGAAGATGACATGAGTTTATCCATTATTCATTTACACATAAGAAAATTGGGGCACAAAGATATTAACTATGTGACTTCTCCTTGGCCAGTATATCTAAGGCCTTGGGTCTGGTAGACTGGGTCAAGCAGAGGGATTTAAGTACAGAATTCTTTAATCCAAGAGCCTACATTCAACCATAGTCTTTATATTATAGTATAATTTCTGCTGATAAGTAGATACTACAGAATAGAGAGAAGCATCCAGATAAACAAGTACCCTCAGACAGTCTGGTTAAGAACTGACTCTAACAGGAAGAATTAAAAATTAATTGCTCCTGCAGCTCAGTCTCTTAGTCTATTTTTTTGAGATTTATTTTTTTATTTATTCAAAAAAAGAAAGCGAGGATTTCCATATCAAGGAGAGTGGATTATTTCAGGATAAGGCACTTAACATGAAACTCTAATTACCAACAAAAATAATTGTAAGATTTTTCAGCCTCCCTTGATAGTTTAATTATTTCAACCCTTCTCCTGTGTCAAGAAATTAATCCAAGTCAGATTTTGTCTCTTGGTTTATATGTGTAGGAGGCAGAAAGGGGGGCGGATCCCACCTGCTGGCTTTCTTCACAAATGCTCACAACCAGGAGACAGCAACTCAACCCCGCCTCCCACGTGGGTGACACAAACCTAACCACCAGAGCTATCACTGCTGACTGTCCCAGGCTCTGCACGAACAGGAAGCTGCAATCGGGAGACCAGCAGGAAACTCGGCACAAGCCCTGTGACAGGGGAAGACTGGGACAGGGGTGTCTTCACAAGGCTAAACACCTTCCTAAACCAAACAGTTTTTACATGTGAGAAGCAGATCACAGATTTTTTTTTTTAAACTTATTTATTTTGTTGGAAAGGCAGATTTACACAGGGAAGGAGACAGAGAAAGATCTCCCATCTGCTGGTTCGCTCCCCAAGTAGTCCTAATGGCTGGAGATGAGCCGATCCAAAGTCAGGACTCCGAGCCTCTTCAGTTTTTCCAGGTGGTTAAGGGCCTCAAGGTTTTGGGATGTTCTTGACTACTACTTTCCCAGGCCACAAGCAGGGAGCTGGATGGGAAGTGGAGCAGCCAGGACACGAAACAGCACCCATGTCGATCTCAGCACTTGCAAAGCAAGGATTTAATCACTGAGCCATCATACCAGGCCAGACAGAATGTTTTCTCACCTGGATAATTTAGCCTGTTCAACCTCCATTGAAGAGCTATTGTATCTAGACACAACTAAAATATTTATTTATTTCCTTTCCTTCAGGTTTATGAAACACTTGTATTACTACAATGAAGCAAATTTTGCTTTAATTGATTAAACAAACTTAAGGATAAAATGTCCCAGCCTTCTCAACACAACAGGAAAAAATATGGTTCCCACTACCCTTTGTGCTTATGTTAAAAATTTATGCTAACTTGAACATACACAGACTAACTTTGTAAGATAATTGGGATAGACCCAGCTATCCTTCTCCTAGGAATATACCCAAAAGAAATGAAATCCACATATGAGAAGGGGATCTGTAATCCTACATTTGCAGCAGCACAATCCATAATAGCAAAGACATGGAAACAAACCAGATGCCTGTCCAAAGTAGAGTGGTTAAAGAAACTATGGTACATCTACTCCATGGAATATTACTCAGCTATTAAAAAGAATGAAATTATACCATCTGCAACTTGATGGTAACGAGAGACCATTGTGAGTCAATTACAAAAGAACTAACACTGTATGTTCTCTCTAATATAAAAAAAACATCATGCAACGTGTAACTTCAATAATCCAATCCATACTGGGTTTTTTTGGGGGGAGGGGGGCTGCATTCCTTTGTGTTTTAATGTTTTTGATTTCAGTTTCATTTATTCCAAATACTTTCTTTTCTCTTGTCGAATCCATCACTGGCTCATGAATTTCAGGGTGGCATCATTTTATGCAAGAGACTTTTGCGTTTTGTTTTTGTCACCAATGTGTTGGTTACATAGTGGTGCATTTTTTCATGATTCTATAATTCTGCTGTTATTGTTGTTGTGACTGCTGCTCTAATTCATACCAGTTGTTGACCTTATTTCATGGCTTCCCATTTATGGAAATGTATAGTGATGGAGTACTAGGGACTACCATATCAAGATGTGGGGATACAATGCAATATGCATCCCTGCTTCCAAATCAAAGATGGACACCCAATGAAACTGTTGGAAACATGTAGATGCTGGATTCTCTTTCATTGTATCAACAACATTGGGGCACACTTAAATAACTGATTGATGGAACTGATGGAATTATGAAGAACTATGTTATTTGTAGCAACATGGGGAAAATCTGTTGGGGAATGGGAGTGGGGGGGAGGAATCCCAGTGTATATGAAATTGTACCACAAAATTCAAAAATTCAAAATAAAAAGTTAACAAAAAAAGATATATGCATCCTTAAAAAAAGATAATTGGGACAGTTTTAGAACCCCTGAATCAAGCAAGAAGAAATATTCAGGCTGAAAGAAAAGAAGTAGACTAACTTGTGAAAAACTTAAGAATGAGTGAGAACAAAGTACAAAGTCACTCAGCTTGGGCTAGTGTTAAGTTTATTAAGTAGGTCAACCTGAGTCTAAATTACCATGTGCTGGGTTCTAGAGGCTAACTATTTTCATCTTACATGCTTGAATGCCTGTAAAGGTAAATCGATATTTAATAGTTCACAAATTTATATATGTCAATATATTTATATTAAGTATACATATTTGCATACATATAAATCAATATCTCATATTACACACACATATATATTTATAAATGTTTAAGTTCTATAACAAGAGATGACCTCCACCTTAATCACTACACAGTGAAAGTGATCCTACTAATCTACAGTCATCACGAATCCAGAAGCAAGAAATAATGACAGCTTCCTAAATTTTGTCCTTACCTTCTATTTTTTACAGTTCACAATATCTTCTAAAAAATCACATGGAACTTCAACGGACCCAAAAGATTAGTAAATCCGTCCATGCTTTTGTGAGTGAACCATAAAACAACGGACAATGAATCAAGTCCTTTTTTCACCATTGCCTTTACCTGTATCCTTCACAATGTTTTTTGCTTTTTGTATTTTTCTTGTTATAATTATTTTCCACGACACAGTTTTGTATGTATAGGGATTCCCCCTCTATCTCCCCTTTCTCCCCACCACATTTCCCCCTATATTGTTGCTGTAGAGGAGTCCTTTCAGCAACAGTCTCAGGTTCATCCTTTTGCTATTTAAGTATATCATGGCATTGCAGGTATAGGCAATGACATAAAATAGAGTACCCTACTATCAAATTTGCTAGTCTACATTACATATTCATCTGGGAGAATATATGTTTACAAATAGAAAGCAATATATTTACCTATATATGTATTCAGTGTTCACCTATATATCTATTTGTTTCGTA